ACAAACACACTCCCAATATTTCTTATTGAACAATTTAGATATGATAGTTTATTGCAAAGCTCTAGTAGGAAAATAATCGTGTATCTAACACCAAATAGTATGATACCAAACAGTTGGAGGCTTGGAGCAATATTTGTTTTTATTGTATGCTTGTTAGTGACACTACAATAAGAAACAACATCTTGCCTCACCAACCCTGATCCACTCTACTGCAATTACTTCCAACAGAATGATAATTATTAGGCAACTAAGCAAATAGAAGATTGATCAAGATAAGGCATAAGAGGGTCAGTGCACAAGGCTCCCATCAATATGTGATTTGGGGAGGAATAGTGCATACGATCCTATCCATAGAAAGAGTTGTTTTCTTGTCTTGAACATTGGAGACCTAGATCGCAAGTGAATGATCTTACTGTGACACCAGGGCCACCATCGATCAAGATATGCCATAGTCCACTAGAAATGCTGACCTCAAGGAGCACTGATCCCCTAGACTGAGTGAATTGACAGCTCTTTCTAAGGGTGTACCGTTCCTAAAGTAACTAATGAAAAATTATCCCCAGAAACAGTTGAAACATCAGGAAGACAAAACATGTTGACTCCAAAAAATGGACCGAGCTCAATTACCAAAAAATGATATTAATCAAACTTAATCCAAAGAGAGAATAAAATGTAACGGTTTCAAAATTAAAATGACATTGCAACATGGTGAATCATATCAGAGATGATGTTTGACACTAAATGACGTGATCCACCATTTCCATCTGATTAGCTATGTAATATCTAGCAGACAACCACCATTACTTTATTAATTGCCTTTAGTCATGTGCAATGTTATTGGCTTACATAACTACTAGAATTAAGAAAGTGAGTTGAATCTGAAGGCTAGATTACAGTAATAAATGCAAAATTTTAATTCAAGAATTATGCAGAAAACTCAAGTTCTGATTTCAAAAATGGATCACGTATCGAATCCTTGCGAAAGGAGGTTAAATATTAATTTGTCAGATAATCAAGACGAACCAAATAAATCCACTTCTGGCAACCTTCAAGAAAAATAGAGAGCAGGTGAGACCTTACATTTCCAATTAGTGGTATAAGACCACTGAGGAGTTCATCATTTACTGATACTGGTAAAGGAGGCAACTGTCTCATTCGTCCAGGAAGTTGCTTCATTGCTGCAGCCTTCATATTTATTCTGCGTAAAGAATGATGATACTTCATGAATTATCATCAGGCAAGCATATAGGTTGTGAGGTAATTGACAAAATAAGAACAGCATTCTACCTATTCTCAATCATCATGATGTTATTTTTCGTGTAATGAAATAAATTGATGTTCTCTTGTATCTGCAACATTGAGAATAAATTACATTAGTACCAAGAATGGTCCTTAAGACAAACTGAAATTGGACAGGAACCAACAAGGCAACCAATAGTGTCAACTTGCAGCACAATTAATTACAGGATCAAACTATGTTAGTGCAGTACACAAGGATTATACTGCTGGGGCACCTTGATCATTTTTATGGTCTCAGGCGAGAAGGCATGTGCATAGCTTGTCTCCTGGGAATCCACCTGGTCCTGTAGCATGTTCCCAGGCAGCCTAAGCACCTACAGATGATCTAAGGCAGCCAAATTGCTCATTAGGCTATTCAATTATGACAAGTCCTGACTCACTCTCATCATGTATAAGTAATACTTTGGAAAAGACAAATAAGTTGAGTACATCTACTTCATTTATTTGTGCGCGTCACTCAATTTAAATTGCTTTATTAGTGATTACACAAACATCCTTCTGTGTTCTTTCTTCTAAATAATAAGGTTGTCATTAGCAAACCACTCAGTAGTTTTTTAAGGTGTAAAGCTCTCTCCACCTGTGTAAAGAAGAAAGAGTAGTATGATAGCATCAGAATGCAAGAGTGAGATAAGAAAAGAAAAAAAGAAGAGGCAACTTCCAGTGAAGCTTCTAATGTTTAGTATTTCTTTAAACAAAGATAAAGAAGCCCCATGTATCTCTATATCTAAATATTCATTAGAAAGAAAATCCAATGTGTTGACTTAAGGCAACATTCTTACAGCAGAGCAACTTAATAGCCGACTTTCTTGCGAAGCTCTTGAGTAGCAATTAGAAATACATAAGAGGGACAAAAGTAGGCACATTAAAGGCCATGAATTTTGGGATTTCCGCTAAAAGTTCAGATAGGAATATTTTCTGTCTAGGCCTTCAACAAGGTGCCTACCTTAAACTCCCTAGAAATTTTGATAATACTAAGATCAAGAAAGAGGAACAATTCTACAAAATTGATAACCAACATCAACTTCTTGATATTGAGAGAATATGGAGTATGCTTATCATAGAATTGAAATGAATATGGTTACCAACAATTTTAGAATCATAATTCTTATTAGAAGATTAGATACCATTGTTGTTAGAAAGACTTTTTACTCATCAGGAAAGTAGATAGAATTATATGCAAGGATTGCAAAGTTATACCTAGGGAAAGCTTACTAATTACTAACTGACATGAATTTATGGCAATGGATTTATGTTTTAGGAAGTGGAAGAGAATAAGTTCCTAACTAGATTGTGTGGCAATAAAATCTTCTTGAAAATTTAGACAAAAGAGGTGCCCAAAGCTTCAAAGAAAATGATACTAATAGATTTCAATGCCTAGTCAAGTGAAGAGAGTAGCACCGAAGAAGAATTAAAGATTTCAAAGGTAGAGGTGTTGTACCAAGGAAAAATTAGAGACTGTCTGATCAAAACCACATGCAAATCTTTCTTTTTCTCACTATATTTTATATTAATTATCTTAATAAATTAATAAGTTCTACATTTGATTTTTCAAACATAAAACTAAATTGTGTTTTTTTTTTTCAAATACTCATTATGAATCTTGTTCTACCATAAATCACCATTTCCTTCATTTTTATTTCACGACTCATTAGTTTAATTCCTCTAAAATTCAATCAGCTTTGAATGTTTAATAACTCATGACATCTAGTTTGGATCATTTCTAAACTTGAGTTGTGAAAATAAATACTAAAAATAAGTATTTTGGACTAAGTAGAATTAAGATTAAAAAAATACAAAACTTTCAAAATACCAAGAGCAGAATTCATAAGTATATGAAAAAGAAACACCCAAAAATTACAAGGTTTTGTATGTTGGCTGTATCATTTTGTAAGAAAAAAACCTTGATGAAGATATTGATCATAAAATTAAGGCCTCGGTTGAAAATTAGAGAGGCATGATAATTGTGATGTAATATATGTATAACTTTTTGATTAAATTGTTGGCTTGTTAAGAAAATACATATAGAAAAACCTGGTCTCTTGAAGACATTAAGATGGATTTGTGTGGCTACCGAGAAAGATAAAACAAGAAACATTGATGTCTATGAACGAATCGTATCAATTCTGATAGAAAATAAAACAAGGAATATAAGAATGTTCAAACGACAACCACAATTACATTGGTTAATGGAGGTGTGCTATTTTAGTTGCAAGAGTAAGATGTCAACTATTACTTGGATTGGTACATACCAACTGATTTTTATTGGTCCAACAAGAACTAAGACTGGATCATATAACTCAAATAATACTGGCCCCACCAGACTCCTATAGCTCAATACCCATTGGTATTGAAGTGATACTGGATGGTATAGGCCGGTATCCCACTTTGATACCAGTATTGTACCAATTTGACAATATATTGAATCTAGTATTGAACCAAAATTTTAAACCCTGATATAGAAATAGAGAGATCTGAAAACAAAAAAATGTATTATTCAACTTTTTTGGAATAAATATTTAATAGACATTATCTCGTCCAGTGGTATTCCCCTAAACAAAACTCAATGACAGGAAAAGATCCATATAGATCATTTCAGATAGAAGGGATATCATGACTTCCTATGACTTGTGTATAAATCTTTTGAAACCCTACTCCACCAAAGGAAACACAGATACATACACAAACACAAGAAGATAATATTTTTGTGATCTAAGCAGAAGCCAAGTTAAAATTTCAGAAATCATCAACACTTTGACCATTTGCAATAAGCAATTTGCTGATAATTATTTAGGATGTCCTATATATGACGTTAAAGAAAAAAGCCAATGCTACATTACCATCATCAACAACAACAATGAGAAGCTGTAGTGTCCCAACTATTTGGGATTGGCAAGCAAAGACACATCAGTTGATGTAAAAGGAAATGACTTCATAAATATGAACAGATATATATCACAAAACTTTATCATATGAATAGAAATTGACATATCTTGAATCATGATCATTCTTTTGGTTTCTTTTTTCTTCTTTTTTTTTGCGTGTAACAAAGGTATCAATCTCAACCTAAACCCATTGGATCAACCTTGACACTGACTAGGACCCATTTAAGATGATTCAATGATGTACAGGTTGGCTCTATTCCAACAACTCTTGAGGCATTAGTGAGGTGGGTCAAACTCAGAACAACCATAGTGCCCAACTGAACCTAACCTAAGAACTTGTTTCCTAAGAAAATATAGTAAACTCTCAACCTCGTAAGCCAATCAAAACCAACCAGTTAGGTATATCAATTGCGTCCAAGGGCAAGAAAGACTGGCCCTGCTGATCAGATGGGATTTGGGGTAGCCTTTCTAGCCTTCCCCATCTCAATTCAACCTGACCCAGCCATTGACAAGTCAACTCATTTTCTGTTTCCCACCTACAAACACTTGCAATATTTTTTTATTTCCAATTATTATAAGAAACACAGGAGTCATACAGCTTATATATTCATATTAATCGCAATTATCTTTTGAAATTCATCAAGATTATATAACTGTTATTGTCTTTGCATGAGATTAATCTAAAAAAAGGCACCACCATGTTCTCTCTAGGAGCATGTCACATGTTTACGAGTACAAAAATCACTCAACAGAAAGGTACCCATGTGCAAAAAACTAAGGCAGATAAAGGTATCTTCTGCAGAGTGCAGACCTCATAATGTTGAATTACACTGAGTATAGAAGAAGCAATTTTCTTATGCTCATTCTCATTAAGATTTCTCACGCTTAACTGGTTTCATCATAGAAAATGTGCACCTGTACTGGAACTAACCAAGTATATGTCACAAACTTCTGAATGTCCTTTGCGAGACCTCCATATTTTAGTGCAACATTCTAAGCTAGAAACGAAGATGCCTTGGCCATGGGGTTCTGACCAAAAATTCTCATATTTTACCTAGATAACCCAATATATAATATTGTTGTTCTTGCAAAGAATCCAGTTTTGTAGTTGCCCCCAATCAATCCAAGAGCAACTTCTCCACTGTCTTGCATCTGATACACTACCTAAATTAATTATTAGTACTAGAAATATTTAGGTTAAATGTACACAAAAAAAATTCTGTTTCACATTTTATGTCAGAAAAAAAAGTGATGAGACCTATTTCAAATCAGACCTACTGCAAACCTGTCAGATATCTATTTTGAATCATATAGCACAAATCAGCAAACTGTCCAAGAGAAAAGAACTCATATCTTGTTTTTAAAAGCATTTTATGATAGTTCAATGCATTCTATGTATTGTTTAAAAGTGAAGTGTGAATTAAATTAACATAAAGAAACACACAAAAAAAAACACAGACCATGCTTCCATTAAGATTCCTTGCAATCTCTCTTAGGCATCCATCATTTTCATCCAAAAGACGTAATATTTCTGCATCCAGAGCACGAACTATAAGGTAAACAAATGTTAAACATTTATAATGACACTAATGAATAAAAACCAGAAGAAACACCATGATACCACTACTTACAAACACGAGACAAGAAGGAAGCAGGGAAAATTTAATGAATAAGTAAATATATCCATAGGCATAATAAAGGCAATGGATATAAAGAGACAAATAATCAGACAAAAAAGTTCATTTAATTCAAAAATTGCTTGCCATGGTTAATGCTTAAGGTTGGTTGTATTGTGAAACAGCACAGTATTGAATGGTACCTATATGGTTAAATCCCCTAAATGACAATATTTTGGAACAAACCATTGGTATGTCCCACGGTAATTGCACCATGCTTCCATAATCATGGAGTGCTTTCTTGCAGCTCTAGTCCATAAATTCAGTAGAATTTCTCAATCTCTAAATGCCAGTGTAACTTTTAGACTGAAAGAAATATTCATAACATTTAGTAGTGAAATCACACAAATATCCTCCTTTTAGCAATATTCTCTTCCCACGATACCACTCCAAAATAGAGTAAGACACTTCTTTTGGCAGTATCAATACCTTCAAAGTTTCTCATATTTCCTAAATCAATCTCAACTCAATCACACTACAACAACCTGTAAGATCCCAGATAAGCAAACAACACCCTTCACTCGACCAAACATTTTTTAAATCTCAGAAAGAACTCATGCATCTAAAAGAAGATTCACTTTCATTTGAACTAAATGTCCTCATATCTAATCAACCTTAAAAATCACATCACAAGGAAGCACATTCTCTTTCCCTAAAAATTGGCCAGGAACAATCAGAAATATATTCTATTTTAAAGATTGTGTACGTAAATTAACACAATTTTCGCTTATCTAAATTATTTTTAGGAAGAAATTCGGAAGTCAATTTGGAAGTTAGATAAATGTCAATACAAATCTGATGCCACTATGATAGAATGTTAATATGCTTTGATATTATATCATCATCATGCAACCAATATTATTTTGTAAAATGAGAAATCTCAATCAACAATTAAATATTTCAGTTATCAGTGGAACAAGCATAGAACTTGACCTACTTCCTCTCTATAAAGTATTTTGCAATGTACAGAGCATTGATTTAATTATCAGTTATCAGAGCATTGATTTACTTCACCCAGTATAATGGTGCCTAATTCCATACACTTCTTTTTACAGCAATTGACGGTGTACTAGCCTGCATAAAACTCATTATCAGACAGATAATAAGTTCAAGGGTAATCTAGTCCGGCTATGAATGATATGGACAGACATTTACTGTTCCATTTTGCCATCATGATGAAGTAGATTGGATTAGTCTTTTAAATGATTAGGCTAGAGATAAACATTACATAGTACAAGAGTTTCAAATGAATTTCTATAACTGATCTCCCATCATCACACCTGCAAAATCTGGATGAATTCAGTGAAAAAGGGAGTTTTAGTCAGTAAACCCGAAGGACCTCCAGGGATATTATCTATAGCAGCATAGAGAAGAAAGATGTGAATGCCAATATATTCTAGCCATTGAGAAAAGTGAGAAGTATCCAAATGGAGGATTCTCACACATTTCTATGTCAAAATGTGTACAAGCAAAAACTACAAAATAATACAGTATTCTACACCAACCTTCAGATGGAAGCTGATCATGGATGTTCATATGATTCATCGTAAGTGAAATAGGAGACCTGTGAATAGTTGCTGTTGATGGAGCACCCATCATCTTCTCCTAAAGCATGATAAGTAAAAGAGAATCAAGACTGCATCTTGCTAAAGGAATTACGAGCTATCCCTCCAGAAATGGAAGCATAAGTTTCATTCACTTAATCTTGAAAGCACTATGTTATGATATCATACAAGATCAATAAAGTAAAGAAAATTTAGGGGATAATAATGAGAAATGAAGTGTCTATAAATCAATATTCTGCTTCATAGATATCTTATCATATGTCGTAGAAAAAATGTAGAAAGATATTCCAGAAAGTTCGAAGAACTACGAAACAAAATTGAACGAGGTAAAACAAGAATTCCTAAACTAAGTTACCGGATAAATAATAAAAAGATGAAGGAAGATCAAGCACATGATAAGAACATAAAAACCACTTCAATAAATAAAAAAAAAATTACCTTCATATCTTTCACCTTTTTTGCTGCATAATTTTCTTCCACCTTCCGCCGTTTGCCATTTTCCTTGTTCTGCGATTTGCAAAAGTGGACAATGTATTGATATAGGTGTAAAAATAAATCAGAAAATTGCTTCATGTTACTTAAGCACTTAGAACATTTTACACTTTGATCATCAGGTGTACTGAGAATTATACGCTATTTTTTATAAAGATTTAGCTGGTGGGAGAAATGATTGCTGGCCATTTCATCATTTTGGCATAGTATCAGGGCACTTCATGAGTTAGAATTCTGGCTTTGCCCCCCTTTAGCTAATATTTCACCTAGTGCATGGTTCATTCACATATTTGGTTTTCACTATTAACTTGCACTTGGGTTTAATTATTCACATCTAAGTAGCTTTTCATAGTCACAAATCAGAAAGAATAACAATCCTCATAGAAATATTTATCACTGAGATATATTTGTATTTATTAAATGTTTTAATATGTACCTCCTCAGTTGAATGCATGAATGTTTTAATAAATCATGAACATAGAAAAAACCTATAATTGGCAGTGCACATTATTTTATATAAAATTTTCTTAAAAAGTCATATAATGGATATTAGACAAAGAGAAACATTGATTAGGAAAACTCCACATGGTGACTCAAACAGAATAATCATATCTACCAATGCAAGTGCTTCTGATGCATCTCTAACAAAATTTTTAAAAAAATCAACCTAAATAGTGATCCTTCAACATATTAAAGAAGTTGATGTCTCAATAGAAATAGTGGCTTCCAATAATTTTTTGTTACTCCTTAAGAAAAAAAAATGGAAAATGAAAATGCCTCACAGTAAGCATCATATCAGAAATTTAATCAATTTAACAAATAAGCATCGATTATAATATACGACGACTTACAATCATCCACTGACACCTCAATGCAACATCTCTTATAGTCTTCCGAGGCAGCAAAGCAGCTATTTTAGTGAACTTTTGTATACTTGGTTCATTCGCATATCTGTCCTTCACAAACAAATTTAATAATGGAATGAAAAGACAACGAAGCATAGCAGTAAATACTAAATACAATGGTCATATGTTTGGAATACAAGCATAAAAATGTAAATCAGCATGCAAGCGTAATTAATTTGTTCAGAGATTATGCTAATAGTCACTGTTCGATGATGGCAAAGAAATGTGAATACAAAAAAAAAAGAGGCACATATAACAAGAAATCTGAGTTTGAACTTTTCCATTCATCATGCATGAAACACAAAAGCAAATTCTGTCCAGAAACTTTTAGAGAAAAAAGATCCATATAACCCAATTGACTAGAAAAAATATATATAGAAAAAAGGGCGGCCCAGTGTGCAAGGACCCACCTGGTCCCATAAAAGCAACAAAATTTTGAAAGACTTTTTCTTCCAAGAAAAAAAATTCTTGCAACGTGTTCCTAGGAGTCTCCAACCATCCTATGAATTTTTTATTGTGTATCTAGAATTCCAGCTACCATCCTCCACAGTAAAGACCACAATAAACTAGATTAAAACAAACTTTTGATTAAGGATCCAACAGAAAATAGATATCAGTACATACTTGATGAGGCCTATGTTTAATAATTCCACTTCTTCTGGAGACCAATATGCAGGTGACCCTGACACATGCACGAACCTCGGCATTGGTTCACCAACAACAGATCCTGCAGGGTATCGAGCTAGAGTTGTTGCATCCATATGATTGATCATGCTGGAGTCAGCAGACATAAACATGCTGGCCATGCTGCCATTTTCATTCAAGCTGCACAGGTCACTAGAAATCATCCCCGTTGAGCTATTCATCGCGCCTAACTGAAAAGAGACCATGCGAGGATGATGAAACAAAGGGTTCATGCTTTCTTGGTGAAGACCATTGTTAGAATCAGACGCCATCCACTGAAGTCGCCAATTTGTCACGCACTATCCAAAACTACTCCAGGTCACACAACCTGCCCAACCCTCAAGATATCACTGTCAAGATTGTTTTTTGAAGAATCAGTGTGCTACCGATGAAACCAATTTCTAATACCGGGTAGATTCATGTCTTGATTGCCAACAATTTAAACCGATTTCTAATACCGGATAGACGCATCAGTAGCAGCCTCTCCTGCAAAAGAACTCTGCGGAATGGCGTCAGTAAACTTAATCTCGATTCTCAACTTCCAAAACACGATCAGGAATCACGGATAAATCGAAACAACGACAAACAATCCCAAAAGATAAAAAATCTTGATTTTAAAACCACCAAGAACCTCTTGAGATTTGCATTCCCGAATAATATCAAACCAGTCAAGAAACCCGTAAAGAATCTCTTATCCTATTGACATTGATCAAACCCTAACCTCAACACACCAGGGTATAAGAAACACATCTAAGAAACCCAAATCCCCCCAAGAATCCCAAACCAACGCAAAGAGATCTCCAAAGAAGAAGGATAGATCAAGAACAGAACAGAATGACAACCTTCGGACGCTTACCTTCCTCCGTCACATTCCAGCGGCTCCTCCTACTCCTCGAGGGGCACAGACAACGGAAATCTACCATTCGAACCTTTTACTCCTTTTGCCGCACCGATACTCTTTTCCGCCCTCTCCAATGGCAAGGGGCAGAAAAGACCGCCCTTTTCACCAAGCGCGGAGATCGGCAGCAACGGATCTTTGGAGTTCCAAAGCAGGGGAGGAATCCCGACAACAGAATTAGATGCCAAGCCTTCTCTTCCCTCCCGCACCGCCCTTTTTCTTTGTCACCTCTTTCTTCTCAGTTCTTCTCTCTTTTCCTTCCCTATTCCTCGAATCTCACTTGTTCTTTGGATTCCTCCCGTTCGATCGATCGCGTACCTCCTCTTCCTCCTCCTCTCCGCGAGATCAGGCTTCTGGCGACTGGCAAAAGTGCCCATCCCGTTCCGCTTCCACCCTCGACTACTTTGGATGGGAACAGGGACGCCAATCGCCCGTCAATTTTCGGTTAATTACGTCCCTGCCATTTCGCGGCAAAGTGTCAAGTTCTAAACGAGACAGATGGCGTGATCAGCACCGCCGGATCATCCCCATTGTAAGACTCCCCCTTGCAATATGATGGCCCGCCGATCCAGCGGTTGAGATCGCCCAACACCGGATCGTCCCTGTTCCTCGCACCGCGAGGGAATCTCGAATCCGGTTGTGGTCACCGCACCGCTAAAAAGGGGCAATTTTGTTAAGATTCGCCAGAAAGAATTTCTCGTTGCTCGCCCGTACCTACCAGCACTGTGATTAGAAACAGCAGTGGGTCCCAACGTGGGGCTGTGGACCCCGTTACGTTACCCAGAGATCGATGACGGTGCTTAAAAGGCTGGGTAATGTAACGGTTTCAGCGATCGGAACGAATCTGGGTGTGATCACCGCACCGTCCAAAAGAAATCAAAAAGTTGGGGTCCCGAACTGTTAAGATTCTTCGGAAGGAACTCAACCCACCCTTTGGACGACTCTACTGTCTACCGGCCTTGCAATACGACTAAGCCGAGGGTCCCAACACGGGAGGAACGCTGCGATGGGTGCGGAGAAGGGTGAGACGACGGTTCTGGTGCATGGAATCTTTAGCGCCAGAATCCAGCGGCGCGAGCGGCGGCAAAGGAAAGGACGGAACTGCTCGAAATAGCGGAGCACGTGGTCGATGGCCTTGGACGTGATCCCGCGGAGGCACAGCCGATGGGAGAGACGGAGACGAGCGGGCAGCGGTTCAAGCGATGGAGGGAGGAAACAGCGTCTGGGGCCAGTGGAGGGGTGACACGTGGGTATATCGCAGTGGCTGGGAATGGCGGCAGAAAGGGTAGGGGCGGGCCGAGAGTCAAAGGGGACCTGACATGGTATTCCATTGCAGCGCAAGTGGGGGTTCCATAAAAGAAAAGAGGAAGCAGAGGAGAGGAGAGAGAACGAGAAGACATCGACCCACCAGGTTGTACTTGCACCTTAAAATGTTCCTTTTTCTCTCTCTTCCAAACCACACAGGACTCTGGGTGTATCTGATACTGCTGTGATTTAAGTTTCTGTGACCAGATAAAAGTTTTTAGAATTGCTAAATGAAAATTATGATATTAATTTTTTGATGATTTCTTAGCCTTCATTTCTATAACATATATATATATACATGATTTTTTTATATATATTTTTTATAATAAAAAATATTTAATTTTAATTATTTTATTTCGAAGCAAAAATAACACGGTTTATGTTTTTCAAATATTTACTACCAACAGGAGATAGATTCTAAAAAATATTGAAATGCCACGTAGATTGGTCAGTCATAGTCCAAAAAAAAAATAAAGCTAACATATTCTTTAATTTGATCAGACCTAATTCTAGTTATTTTTGTTCGAACACAAATTTATTCATAAATATTTGTTCATCTTAATTTAATATTTAATATCAAGAGACATTGGTCTCTTTTAGATAGATTCTAAAATTCAAGAAACATGTTTATAAACACAAATATTCACTATAAACAATCATCCATAAGTAAAATTAAAACATCTACAAATTCTCTAATTCAACTAACGATATCAATTTAGAAACAAATTAATGATGAATAATTGACACGTTAATTTTATTGAGTTGTGGGCTACACGTATGATAAGGGACTATTTGGTCGGTCGATCATTGGAGCGGCCCTTAGACTCGCGAGGAATTATCCGCTTTGGGTGATGAGTGTCCCTGCACGGTTTTGTCGTTTGGGAGCGAGTTTGCTCAGCCAAGGTACAAGCCTTGGACCCTCTTTCTAGCGCCAATCTGATAAGGGATCATTTGATCGATCAGTCATTAGTGCAGCTTGTAGACTCTGAGGAATTATCCGCTTTGGACGATAGGTGTACCTGTACGATTTTGTCCTTTCGGAACATGTGAGCTCCAAAAGGTACATTTGAAGATAAGAGAGACCTGATGAACTTATGAGTCATTGATTCTCATACTCCTCAACTAATGTGCGACTAAAAGGGTTTATGAACATGAAAGCTTAAATCAATAAATTTAGACGTAATGTTAATTTATATTCTTGAGGATGAGTTTGCAAACCACCTTTATACATTCAAACATAACTCAGAATTTATTCCTTGGAGATAAACATCCATTGATTCTCTTCGCAGGATCAAAATCATCATCAGGAATCCAATAAAAAGGAAAAATGTGATGCCACAACCCCCAACAGAGAAATTCTAGTCAGCAAAACGAGACAGGATTAAGACGTGATTCGATGGAGAAAAGCACAAGCGGTAGGCACCACAAAACCAAAAAACTCTTAACAGTGTCAGCAAGTTGGAAGCAGAGATGACACCACCACCAAATCGTAGCGTTACATAAACACAATAAAGTGATAGAAAAGGTGTCAAACAACTCTTCTTTTAGAAGGGATGCCATCAATATCTAAACCACTGCCACTTTAAACGAAGGAACATAAACCAAACGGAAACGAAATGCTATGGATATGTAAACAAAAACAGCTCCAAAACCAGTCGCTGTTGGTCTCATCTCAAGTTGTTTCGGTGTTCCAAAGAACCCGATGTTGGCGATGGGGATCTCAACTGCCACCAATAAAACTGCCTTTATAGCTAACACAAAAAGCTTCCATGTTTTTATATTAGGACGAATTCCCTAAAAAAATTTCTCTTTTTCGATTTTGATTTTTTTCAATCGATGACCCCTACTTTTGGTAATCATGTAGATTCTTTTATCCTTTTTTGTCATCGCTTCTTTCTTCGTCGTCAATCCTTCCTCGTCATCTTTATCCGTCGTCGTCTTCTCCATCTCCCTCCATGTGCTCTTTTTTCTCTTCTTCCTCATGGTGATGGGACTTGTAGGTGAGAGGATGGATTGAGGCGACGATAGACACGGGAGTAGATTTAGATGAATGTTTGAATACTCGTTTTTCACATGCTAAATATCGTGAGTCGAATAAATGGAAGTGTCTACTGGTGATCCTATAAAACGAGCGAACCGAAGTTGGAGCTTACAAATAATAAAAGGAATGATAGGTTCTCATCAGACGATCAAGTCAGAACGTGTTTCCACTGACGAAAAAACAAGACGAAGCAACACTACGTCAATAACGAACATCTCTCTTTTATAATGTTAGGAAAGATACTCAGAATCTACGATCCATTTTGTTATCTTTGTGACTCTCAAGTTTTGATTTCCTTGTGCAGTGCTTGTCATTAGCAGTCTTGAGTGTTGGATCAAAAGGGGACTATGCTGCAAAGATCTCAATCGCATTACCTGAGACTTTAATGAAGAAAAGATAATAATTTGTCAGAATCAGACAGATAATTAATCGAACCATTCATTACTTTGTAAATTCTTGAAGTATATTTTCCTTTTTGAAGTAATGAGGGTTTGCAGTTCTCCCAGCTTCAAAGTTGGAGTCCGGCTCTGATGCCGAACCCAACCCACGGCGGGCCACGAAGAAGAAGAACAAGACATCAAGTGCAGGAGAAGAAGCTATCCCCTGAAGTCGCAGAACGCAGTCCGAGCAAAGCTTCCATGTACGTTTCCCCCCACTGATCTCAACTGCTACCACTTTTCCCCGGTAGTTTACCAGTATCCTCGCCGGAAGCAGAATGGGGCTCTTGTGGGCCCCATGACAGCCAGGTGATGCCGCCAAAAATAGGTACAGAAACGTATATATATATGTATATATATGTCTCGTATCTATCATATATTCCATATACACCACGGCATGCTATATTTACGATTCCCCTTATTAAATTGGTTTCGAATATACATATGCGTCTGTTATCAGAGTGAGCTTCGCAGGTAAAGGTCAAGCCTTGGCCGTACCGAGGGAACTCTTGTGATCGTCCAATCTGGAGAGCTGCTCCTCTACGGAAGATCTACTTTGATGTGATCATCAAATCCTGCCGCACCACTTGCTCCCTGTCCATCCTCGCATCTTTCTCGCTCCTCCATGGACCACCGTTTGACCATGGCAGGCAACACAGCTTATCCCTTCTACCTATTCCCAAGACATTTCTTCCTCATCTTACGCGAACGAGAAGAAAACGTGAAACCAGGCATCCATCCTACATGGGTTCCGTCAGTGAACAGGCGGCTGCTATCGCATCCGGCTGCATAACCGGGACACATCGGACGGCCGAACGGGCTTGAGCAGGAAATCTACAGCTCCTTCCTCCAAACACCTGAAACCAAACCACCAGAACACCGCGTCAAACGCTCGGCTTCCGTAACAGCACTCGATCACCACCTTGGAAATGGTCAGTCATCACCTGTTGATCCTGTTGGGGACGTTCTCCGACGACATCACGACCACGGGGATCTCCCTCAGTTTGGAGGACTCCTGTTGCAGATCGAGTTCCATTACCAGCCATCTAAAGATGTTAGTACCGAGTAGGGTAACGAGGAACCTTTTCGTAAGGAAGTGCGTTGACTGACCTTGACACTCTTGAGAAGCTCATATCCTGTCATCTCAGGCATCCAATAGTCCGTAATTATCATGCTAATGTTCGGCTCCTACAGAAAGTTAATTCAAATTTCTATCAATACAATGGAAATTTCGTATCTTTTTGGTGGCAAAAGAGCATAACCATACCAGTGTTAACAGCTCCAATGCTCTCTTCCCACTGTCTACCGTGGTCACTGCAAAAAGAACAGAACTTCCTCCGTTACCATCTTCTTCGTTCTGAAACAGAGAAGCAGAGCATATGCCATACCTCTGTACTTGGAGCTGCGAAGGATCTTAGCGATCAACGCTCGGTCGACGGAGCTGTCGTCCACCGCCAATACGTGTATCTCCTGCTCTCCCCTGCCCGAAGCGTACGACGACATAGCGAAGAAGAAGAATAAGAAGAGTGAAGGCTGGGGAAGAAGAAGAGGGAGGAGGTCGCCGCTGGGTCACCGTATGTAGTATCTCCACTCACACGAGAAAAAGGAAGCGAAGAGAATAAAGAGCAGCAAATCCCCACCAAATCAATCCAGAATCCCACGCCACTCGTTCCACCCAAAACCAGCGGCGACGTACCACAACATCCCTCTCCCTCTCTTTCGCACCATATCTTCCGGTTCTTGCCACGAAGCAAAACCTGCCACCCAAACGGGGGGGCCCACCCGCTACAACGAATCCCTGGGATTGGAGGAGGTTGTCGGATGTGCCACGCCACAAGAGTTTGAAACTTCGACCGTGACGCGGTCCAGAGCGTTGACTGACTCGTCGAGTCATCCATCGAGATTATGCTGTGCCCGCCATATCCAGCCGGACTTGGGGATCCCCCAAAGATTCGGTCGGAGCCTTTGTGGAGCGGGATAACACGGGGATGGGAGGGGTGTTAGGATAAACGGACGGTTGAGATCCTTAGCGGTCCTCCACGTGTTGTCCTGAGCGAGGGTGGAAGATCTCGTGGCCCACCGAGCCAGCCAACGAGGAAAGATTCGGCCGACAAGGAGATCCAATGTTTTAAATTGGGTGGGGAGGGAGGGAGGGATTGGTTCGGTCCGACGCGGGACTCGCGGTTGTCGCGTATGCGGGGCCCAGACGTGCTGCCGATTCAGGAAGGTGGGAATAAACGGACTGTTTCGAGATGATCGACCCCGCGTTGATCCGAGGGCACGTTGACCACTGCAGTTCACGTGTCAATGTCGCAGGTCGACAACTGGCAGTGGGTCCCGGTGTTTTTTTCTTTGTGGTTCATGTGAGGGCTTCATTTCGGTCTTCAGATCCGGAGGCTCGTCCGTCATCATAGCGGTTACACTGTGTCGTACAGCGAGGCCAGCATTTATAGCCCAATAAACCTAAATTTTAGTTTAATTATCCTTGATTGTGGCTGATCGAATACCCCACGTAATCTTATTTAATAAATGCTATTATTATGCTCTCGATATGATGCTTTGAATGTGTATTATATTACATTATTTGATTTTTTAATCATATACAATTTCCTAATATTCTTACTATCGACGATTAAGATTCTTAGACATCCTAATATTCTTACTATCAACAATCTGATCGGATTGTTGTCAGATCCCTTATCATTTATAATTCTCTTCATGCACGTAAGCAAAATACATTGTCAAGTTACTATGGGGTCCGGTTCAACTCTGACATTACCCGATCGCCTGGATCAAACCGTTATCGCCGGATCGATCCGAGCTGGAAACCCGGATCAATAATTGGAGGGTTGAGTCAACCCGAACCGGGTCCAGACTCGGCCGAACATTACCCGACCGGTATCACCCCCAACCCTAATCGCGAGCGTTACATCGAACGGCCATTATAAAGGGAAAATAGACTCGAATGGCGAAGCTGGCTCGCTTTGAGGCGACCACTCGAGTCACCGTCTTACCCGCGTCGATGGCTCGGGCATTCCCAAACCGGAACGCCGAGGGATCGAGTCGGCTCCTCCTCCTCATAGCCGCCAACATGCTCATCGCGTCGTGCGTCTCCGTCACTCGCTCCCTCCCCACCCGGCTCTCTTACGCCCCTCGCCATCTCTGCCTCCTCGCCGCCGCCTCCCCCAAACCCGTCCAGAACAAATCCTTTCCTTGCCCTCTTTGGTCCGCCTCCTTCTCCTTCTGCCTCGACCGCCGCCCGAAATCCACCACCTCCTCTGCCGCCCCCCCGCCCTCTTCCATGGCCTTCGCTGCCGACAGCCTTGATTCGAACCCCCTCCTCCACGACTTCGCCTTCCCCCCCTTCGATGTGGTCGAGCCGAAACACGTCCGCCCCGGGATCCGCGAGCTCTTGAGGAAACTCGTACGGTCCTCTTCTCCCTCCCCCCTTGCATTGGTCGATAGATATTTAGGGTTTCAAGTGATGAACTTGTTGGGTCTGGAGCGTTGCAGGAGAGCGATCTGGAGAATCTGGAGAGGACGGTGGAGCCGACATGGCCGAGGCTGGTGGTGCCGCTGGAGAAGATCATGGATCGACTTCAGGTGGTCTGGGGAATCGTGAACCATCTGAAGTCCGTCAAGGATTCGCCGGAGCTCCGATCTGCTATCGAGGAAGTCCAGGTTCGATTCATTTATTTCTTTGACGGGATCTCGTCGTTACTTATGTGGCTTGTATCCGCTTTGGTTGATCGATCCCACTTATAGTGTATTTCGATGCAAATGTTGAATCTTGGGCCATCGATCAATGGCATTTTATGTTAGGCATATTTCCCTGTGCCGTGTATTTCGTCTTTGTTTACATGTCCAGGAAAGTTGCTACATTTTTTATCACTCTCTGTTTTGTGTTGGTACTAGGCATTTAACCAATTGAAACTATGAATATAATGCTCCATTCTATCTCGAGAATTTCTTTTGCAAGATTCTCTTATAGATTTTGCTTTCTAGTTTATTGTGTTTGCTACTTATCTCGTTTATCTCTGAGATTGATATTGCAAATCATGTTTGAACAGCCAGAGAAAGTGAAGTTTCAGCTGAGGCTGGGACAAAGTAAGCCTATATATGATGCATTTAAGGCGATTCAAAATTCTTCATCATGGTCAACCCTAAGCGATGCCCGTAAACGTATAGTGGAAGGTAATATGCCATATTTCATAATGGACTTTTTATTAGGTTGAACGGTTTTGCGTTCTAGAGTAATTTCTTCTTCATCTTTCATGCATGACTTATCTGGACTCATAAAGCAATTTTGTCGTTATCTTTTCTTCTGAGACTAACATTGATCCTCTTAATTGGGAAAAAGAATGTTCTCATCTGATCTGAACTTTTATACCTTTTGATATAAAGATAGATGATTTTGGACAGCATTTCTAGGGTATTGAAGAACTTAAAATCTAAAAATTGAAGGTTGTTCCAACCAATTCCGACAGTCAAAAAGTTGAGGAAGGTATCTGGCCCTTGAAAGAGGAATAAAGTCCATATCCTTTGCAATGTTTCTATGGCAAGTAGAACTTTTGTTTAATAGCACATTGCAAAAAACCTAGCTAGAATTATGAGTAACAAAATCCACGTATTTCACATTGTTTCTATAGAAAGTAGGAGAACATTCTTAGACAATAGCAAACTGGAGGTTTTTAACAGGCAAGTCTTTTTTTCTTCTCATATTTCAAATCATTGAAATACACAAAAAATTGATATATTTTATGTATGCACATAGAAAATTGGAATAATTAGTTTTATTGGTTATTTAGTGAAATAAGTTGGGAGCATTATTCCTTGTTATGGGGGTTAACATTTAGGAAAAAAAAAACTCAGATGTTACATCCTCGGTTGGGAAACAAAAATTAGGAAACTGTCTTTAGTTCTGGTATATTTGGTCTGACTTAAATGTGAGGCAAGACCTTGGTCTATCACATTTCAATGAGTTGAGTGTTTTGTTGTTTGTTATATAGGTGCACAGATACATTAATTACCTATTCTTTCCAGTTAAGTCTTATCATCATTCATTTATTTGTATCAGTACAAGAATTTACAAATTAGACTAATGTAGTTTCCAACAGATTGCTTTTCTTATTTTCTTAAATTCCCTTCCTTTTGCAGCTCAGATCAAGGAAGCTGTTCTTAGTGGTGTTGCCCTTGAAGATGAACAGAGAAAGAAGTTTAATGAAATTGAACAAGTAAACTGAGTACCTTGACACCTATTTCTCTAATATCTTGACTTATGTGGAGGATGATTGCTTTGATGATTTCATTCAAATTTTGGCAGTTTTGCTCAAATGTCAACAAGTAGTTTGCAGGCTGTCCTGTCAAATATTTGGGCCTTGTTTATATATCATGTATTGGAAGTTCAGAACCCTTGTGAGTTAACTAGGCAGATAATCTGAATCATTTTGGTTTGTTAGACTTTCTTTCAAGTAATGCTAATAAGTTACTAAAAAAGTAACATACATGCCCTGATTTAACACAAATAAACCTTGATGTGTTTGGTAAAGTTCTTGACATGCTGATGTTAATAATTGGACTAAGGCCTCTTTTCTTGTGCTAATGTGATGTGACATAACTGAGTCGGTGAACTTACTCTTGGACATGATTGCTTGAGGAGTTCCTGTTGGAATGTTCATATATTCGAGTATAGGGCATTGAATATGCATTTGTAAAGTTAGCAAAATATGATCTTTGATTGTCACTAGTAAATGCAATGTCAAAATGAGTATCATAATGACAACAATATTGTATGTCTGATTTGAAGAAAAACCATGTGTGCTGTGTTTGTGGATGATTATTTCAAATAAGTTAGTTCCTTGTAACTGATATTTTTCTTTCCTTTTGTTGCTTCCTAAAATGATAAGGAATATATGTTGCTGTTAAAGCAACAAGATTTTGATGATTGGTAAGTCCAACCTCTAAGGATCCATGAAATGAATCCCTTATTCATATGTCAAATGAACTTTTTTGCAGGAGCTTGAAAAACTATCTCAAAAGTTTAGTGAAAATGTTTTGGATGCTACAAAAAAATTCGAGAAATTAATTACTGATAAGAAGGAAATCGAAGGATTGCCAGCTACTGCACTTGGTCTGGCAGCACAGACCGCTGCGTTAAAGGTAGTTCACAATTTTTAAAATAGGTGGCAAGTGCATGTATGCCTCTACTGCTAAGTTTCAGATTTTTTTTGTCTTTATTTCTATATTGATTCCTTTTGGTTCTAAATTTTCTTTGTGTTTTGTGTGTTTGATCAGATTATATGTTGGCCATATCTTTAATTGTAAAGAATTTCAGTGAGATATGATTTCTTATTTGAGGGCTGTGAAATGGAGGGATTACTTTACTGGTTACTAGTTATGATTGATAATGTGGTTATATCATTAAGCCAAGTAATCAAATAGGACAATGCTGTAACTGTTTAATTTGCTACTTTTGGGTCTTGTGTAATAGGAAGTTTAGTTGTCATTTCTATAAAACAAAGTTCTCTGGCTAATTTTTCAGAGTTATGATAATAGCTTTGAGGCTGGGTTGATTCCATATTTTATTTCTCTCCTGTTTGTTTTCCGCCAATGTTACCTTGTATTCATTCCTGCTACTCTTCCAACTATTTGTCATTCTATCTCAATCCATCTATTTCTTTATATTTAATTTTCTTTACTTTACACTCTATCTTGCCATCTACCATACTGTGGTTGCTGCACCAATGACCTCAACTGGATTTTGACACCAATCGCTAGCCCAATGGCTTTACTCAGACGGTCCAGCATTAAATTTACACAATTTGTTCATGATTGACTTTGGATCCATCTTTATAACCAGAAATATTTTCTATTTGAAAGAGCAACAAGTTGTGCTTATAATACATTAATTCATTAAATACTCTTTTATGGTCAGGGTCATGAAAATGCTTCTGCTGAAAATGGGCCATGGATGATTACTTTAGATGCTCCAAGTTATATTCCTGTCATGCAACATGCAAAGAACCGCTCTTTGCGGGAAGAAGTTTATCGTGCTTACGTCATGCGGGCATCTAGCGGAGATCTTGACAACACTCCTATTATTGGTCAAATTCTCAAATTGAGGCTGGAAAAGGCTAAAATTCTTGGATACAAGAACTATGCTGAGGTATGATGACAGATTATTTCAAGTGATGTCTTTTATTTATGCAGCATATGATTTTCCTGTTTTTCTTTTTCTTTTTGATGTAGGTCAGCATGGCAATGAAAATGGCCACAGTTGATCGTGCAGCAGAGCTTCTCGAGAAATTGCGTAGTGCTTCTTGGGATCCTGCTGTTCAAGGTATTAAGTGCTATTGATTCATGTTAAGCTAGTTTTATTGAGAAAAGTATAATTAGTGTAGAAGATAGAAATCAATAGAATAGTGCATTTATGTTATTAAAAAAATCTTGTGTATATGTGCAATACACATCTGCTTACAGATCTTTTCTCAAGGAAATTTTCCTTGAAGCGTTTAAGTAAAATATTTATTTTTCATCCTGAACATTCAATGCCACATTTGCAAGTGCCTGTGCTGAAGCAGGATGACAGATAGTGTGGTTTCAACCATTGGTGGGAAGTTATTAACAGAAAATCTTTACCTTTTCTTGGCAATATTGGCAAAAAAGGAAAAGAATTAAAAGATGATATGGATTTCAATCTGAAATTGAAAAGGAGAAATAGTTCTGACTCCTATCATGTGATAAATACCCTTGTCTTTGGCTTCGTGTTGGCACAAGGTTTCTACATGGATTAACGCAACCAGCATGGCAGTACTCGGTCTTTTGTAATTGTGTATCACAATCCTATCTCTGAATCTTGAAACTGTCTCAGGAGTAACTCATCTGTTCGTTGAATCTCACATTTTTAGTGTGCATATTGAAATTTTATTGGGCTTTAGATCAACTCATTGAATGTCACAAGGAGACTGTCTTGTCAAATCCACTGATTGCTGCTTTTTTGTCCCTCCTTGGCTTCCATGGAACGTCTTATGGTTCTTTTGATATTGCTTAAGAAATTTCTTTTGTATCTCCTAATTAAACTAACTCTTAGACAAATTAGTTACTCGGTGACTTCTATTTCCAGTGCCTTGCTTGTGAGCATATCAAGAAGGTAGCTTTCTGGAGAGGCTAGAAATATTAGCTGTGGTTTGTGCTTGGGAAATTGTTCACATTTAAAAATATGGTAAATCTTCTTGATTCATGATCGTGTTCTAAATTCAGAGAGGGGTTCTACCATTATTATTAGTTTTAACAAACAACAAACATAAAAGATAAGTAATGATTGTTCAAGAACTCCTTGCTGAGTGCTTTGAAAGAGCATTTACAAAAGTTATAAATTCAGAGAGGGGTTCTACCATATTATTATTAGTTTTAACAAACAACAAACATAAAGATATGCAATGATTGTTCAAGAACTCCTTGCTGAGTGCTTTGAAAGAGCATTTACAAAAGTAGAAGCAATGCAAATGTGTCCGTAAGTTTGCTTCCCCTACACTCCAGTTTGATATTTGCAAAACTGACTATATGTGTTAAAGTTAATAGAGAAAGGCCAATTTTCAATCTTTTATTAGTAGAATGAAACTTGTGGTATTGCACCAGTTAGCTGGAGGACTGTAATTCTGGGTGTTCATTTTCCTCAGATTCTTTTCCAATATATTGTCAGTGGCAAAGTTTATGGAAACAGTATGATGGCTAGGTTGTTCTTTTGATGCATGCAGATATGGAAGACCTTAAGACTTTTGCTGGAAATGCTGGTGCTGCCGAAGCTAATCAATTGACCCATTGGGATATTACGTTCTGGAGTGAAAGGTTACGGGAGTCAAAGTATGACATAAATGAGGTCTGCCTATGGTGCCCCTTTTTTATTGCTTGTCTACCTCTCTTCCCTCTATTTGTACAAGTTACAACAATATCTTGCTGCGATCTTATTAATCTGTAGCATTTTCTTCTCGAGTTCATGACATAATGAGAATAAATTACCATATTATTTGATGTAATGGAGACTCTTCTTTAACATTAGCATATGATTTTCAATAGGTTGAAATTGATTTTTGTACTAAAGGGATTGAAATTACTTGCTGAGATCGGATTATTTTTCTCTCTTACAGGAGGAACTGCGGCCATATTTCTCACTGCCAAAGGTTATGGATGGTCTTTTTGGCCTTGCTAAGAAGCTTTTTGATATTAATATTGAAACAGCAGATGGGCTAGCACCGGTAAGACCATTCCTGTATTAGGTTTTGGTGATGCATAATATTACTTGGCATATCTTGTCATCATCTCTTTTATGTTTGGCCAGGTTTGGAATAATGATGTTAAATTTTACTCTGTCAAAGATTCTTCAAACAATCCAATTGCCTACTTCTACTTTGATCCTTATTCACGGCCTTCTGAAAAGCGTGGTGGAGCTTGGATGGATGAGGTGTTTGCTCGTAGTTATGTACTTGCACGTGATGGTGCTCCTGTTAGGTTGCCTATTGCACATATGGTGTGCAATCAAACACCACCTGTTGGTGACAAACCTAGTCTAATGACATTCCGTGAGGTAATTTTCATCTTCATCCACTTTTAAATGGACCAAGGAAATAACTATAAGTAACGCTTATAATGGCATATGCAATATTGCAAGAATACTTCTATATTGTGCTGGGTTTATTTTTTTCTTGAGAAACTGAATTGAATATCTGATTAGGAGTTGAACTTCATGGTAGTTATCTCCTTTGTTAGATCCTAGTTGTTGAGATATTAATTATTCCATAGTTCTTTCTTTCTGTTGTAGGTTGAGACTGTGTTCCATGAATTTGGTCATGCACTTCAGCATATGCTTACTAAACAAGATGAAGGGCTAGTTGCAGGAATTCGGGGCATAGAATGGGATGCAGTTGAGCTTCCATCACAGTTCATGGAAAACTGGTGCTATCATAGGTACTTCATTATTATGAAATTACAAATCTTTTGCATTGTATTTGGGAATAATCTGGCCCTAACACTTAATGTTAAAAGATAACTTATTGTTGAATATATAAATTTGTATAAATCTTTTGTGAATTTTAAATTTGATATTGATTTATAAGATGCTGTTAACATTTAGTTTTGCTTGTATCTGCCATGCTTTTCTGCTGTCGACTTTTGGAAGTTGTGGCATTTTAATAGATAATTTGTCAGGATTATATTTCTTTCACATCTTTGAAGATGTAGTCTATATGTGAAACTAATTACCAAGGAAAAAAGGGGTCATTTTCCACCATTCCTGTCATTTGTTTTTTCTTTTGAAATTAAACCATGGACTTACTGTTAATTTCATGCCTGCTGTTGCATTGGTTGGTTTTTGATAAAAATTCTTAGCCTTCTTGAAAGATTAATTTCTCTTGATGGTGCCTGTTTCAATTCCTTGGACATCTGTCATTCTTTTGGATTTGGTTGATTTTTGAGCAGGAAAACACTGTTGTTCATCATTGTATTTTGATAATGATGAAGCATGTAAACTAGTATCTTCCTATTTTTCCTTCTTTTAAGTTCTTATTGCATTCATCAATTCATTTTTTTTTTTCACTCACCAAGTTGTTTGATTTGGATATGGAAGAAAAGTACTTTTTTGTTTGTTTTATGACAAGTTTGGCATGAAACCATACCTTGAAATTGAAAGGAGGAAACTATCTGGGTTGATCTAAACAGGATCTTCTTTCAATGATGCAGCTGATCTTTTGCCCTTGTACATATCACCTTAGCATATGCATGCATATTGGATGGAAATCATTCTTTTTCTAAAGTTAGGTGTTCCTGGGTTGGTTGGTTTGAGATTAGGAAAATATTCTGAATGAAATTTTTTTTTATAATTCTAACATTAATTAAATTTATGTTTGACAGGAATACTCTTATGAGCATTGCAAAGCATTATGAAACTGGTGAACCTCTTCCAGAAGAAGTGTATCAGAGGCTTGTTGCTGCTAAAACATTTCGTGCTGGCTCTCTGAGTCTTCGCCAGGTTGGTATTATGTTATTATACTTTATTTTCATGATTTTGTTATCATACATACAAGATGTGTGCTTGTCATTTTCTGATTTATTCCAACCAAAATAGAAAGTCTTGTTTGCTTTTACTTGTTTTTAATGGAACTCACTTTTTTTGCCTTTCTTCTAGATAAGTGGAAGCCAGCAGCTTCCCTACTTTTGATTGTTTATGCATATTTAACCACTTCAAATTACATTGGCATTTTGAATAGTTTTGAACTTCTCCTTGGTCTTGAAGTTCAAAACCAACATGGATTGTGCCTTAAGCAGGTCAAAATGCCTGAGGTTAAGATTTTATTTATTTTGAAGTGTCAACTTGGTTCATCTGGATGAACCAACCTGGAGTAATTTCTGCAGTTTAACATTTTAGGGGTTTGTAGCTGCCACATCCCTTTCGATGGTCCTATTCCTTCTGTTAAATGCCTCTTTCTGAGCATTCAAGAAATGGATAATAATTGGTTTTTTCTTCTTCACAAATAATTATTAAAATAACTGCTCAAAAATTAGTGTTGTCTTCATCTTTGATTTGCAGATAAGATTTTCCAGTGTAGATCTGGAACTACATACCAAATATATTCCCAATGGACCTGAATCTATCTTTGATATCGATCAAAGAGTTGGAAGAATGACACAAGTTATCCCTGTCCTTCCAGAGGATAGGTTTCTTTGCAGTTTTAGTCATATATTTGCAGGTTTGTATCACACCCATTCATGTTATCAACTGTGTGTCTTCCGGTCCTAGATATTGTAGTCCTGTTACCCACTAATTGACGTTGTGTTCTAATAGGTGGATATGCAGCTGGATACTACAGTTACAAGGTATATAACATTTTGTAATCACTTAACACTACACTACTGTCATAGAGAGTTGTATCTTTCTATGGCTGTAGTTTTTGGTTCTTTCCTTCTGACTGTATACTTGCTAAGTTGATAATGTGTTCCATAAGCTAAAATACTACTTGATTTCTTTGCTTGTTATGCTGCTTTTCTTGTATACCTGCTGTAGTGCGTTAATGACGTTACAATAAAGGCTTCCTCACTAGAAAAATTGACCATTTAAAACTATATGACACTGATTATTTTTTGTCATGTAATACAAACAATAGATTTCTTTGTATTTTTCTCAAGGATTTATCTCCAAACATATCTACTGGACAGTGGGCTGAGGTGTTGTCAGCAGATGCTTTTTCAGCTTTTGAGGATGCTGGATTAGACAGTGATAAGGTATGTTAGCAGTTTTATTTCTACAAAGGTATACTTTTGTGGGCCACCCGCATGACTCTCTGCTCTACTTATTTTCAACTGATTAACTTATTTGTAAAAATTCTTGTGTATGCATGCATCAATTTTACTAGTCATAACCAATATATCCCTAGTACAACCTTTTCTTTTATAATTCAAGATGCAGTCGAAATGAACATCTTTATAACTCAAATGTAATTGGTCCATCAGACCATTGTTTCTAGTGTCTTAAATCAAATCATGTGGATCTTAGGATCTAAATCTGACGAAGTCTAACCCGTTTGTGCACCCTGCAGATGGATCAATTTAATTTGTTGGATCTCATATTTTAGAATCACTTGTTTGCTGTGAATTAGCATATATGCATGACAATAATTTCTGTTTTTCTGGGGATTTTTAGGGATAAAAATAATATTGGCTTCTGAAGATTGAGTTCATTGACACTTTGATTAGTTGATTCATGTACCACTGGAGTAACAGCTGCATGTGATTTTTTGAGATTTAATCAGTGTCTTGGGCATAAGACATCTCATAGCACAGTTCATGAAAAAGCTAACTGTATACTTGGATGTGATAACCTCTTCCGGTTGATATGTGATTATCCCTTGGATGTGATAACCTCTTCCGGTTGATAAAATTTCTTGTGGAACTTTTGTACAATGCAAGTTGATTATTTGATACTTCACTTTCTTCCTTTCAGACCATCAGGGAAACTGGTCACAGGTTTCGGGAAACCATTCTTGCACTTGGAGGTGGAAGATCTCCACTTGAGGTTTGTCACATTGATATTACTGGTCATATAACTGAACTGATAAATGAGCAGGAAACTTGTCTAATGTTCTTTCTTTGTGGTCAAATATTTACTAATTGTGGTTTAATATTTCTCTCTCTACTTCATAAGGCCCTAAAAACCATTCAACTGGTTACTTGAGATTGATCGGGCATCAACCGATCCTTCCTCTGCCTCCTGTTTTGTGCTCTTGATTTCTATAAACAGTTCTGTCGAGCAGCTACACAACTCCTAACCTTTCCTTTTTTTAGTTGAAATTGAGACCTCTTAGGAGTAGAAATCCTCTTGGATTATATTTTTATTGACAGTTTGGGTCGCCCCTTTTTTTTTATTCTTTGATTATCTTGCAGTAGAAAGAATATGTTGGAGAGTCTATCATAATATGGACATATACCCTAAATTCTTGGTGATATCAATGCTAGGTCTTTGTTGAGTTCCGAGGCCGCGAACCTTCACCAGAACCGCTGCTTAGACACAATGGCCTGCTGCCAGTACCTGCCTCTGCTTGATCCATGACCGTTGGACGAACATGTTTCAAGAATTGTCGACAATTGATTCGGTGCAGCAGGTGCATCTCCCGAAAAACTTTCACAAAAACAATAAGGTATATTTTTTATTTTGTTGCCAAAGAAACAAAAGGAGATTGAGCGATTGGAATTACTGACACATGGAAGCATAGTGCTAGAGAATCTTGTGTCGGGATAAGTTAATCAAACATTTACCTTCTCTCTTCTGAACAATATATGTTGTGTTTCGGCCTATTACATGTCATCGATTGCATACTACCACAGTTACATTGGTTTTGATTTGGACAGGCAAAAGGGTTTATCCACATGGTTGCCGTGGTTCGATGGCAGAATCAAAACCGTGATTAAATGTGTAAGGCTTTCCTCTTCCGCGTTGTGGTCTCTTCTATTACCTCTCGTTATCTTGGTTTCTTTATTTGCCTTTCTTCTTTCCTGGACTGGGCTTCGTGTCTTATGCTTGGAAACGAATCCTTTCGATACTTGGGCTTCGTCTCCATGTGCGGTCATTCTGCAGCCGCGCGCACCGCAGATATGTCTGCAGGACGAAACCCAACTGCTACCACTCATTTCCCTACAACTACAATATATATATATATATATATATATATATATATATATATATATATATATATATATATATATATATATATATATATATATATATATATCCAACATCAATTCACCATCATAAACAACAGAATTTGTGAACCCAAATTTTTGAGCCTTAATCTTGGGAGAATATATAGCCCAAGGATTGTGATGACCATGGTATTGACGTGTGACATGATTTGATTGATATTTGTTATATGATTCACTCAATTTTGAAATTTCTTATATAATTAAGAGGATATGTAGGTGGTTCTTGCTGAAGGAGTCCTGGACGTGGTCCCAAAATTATGATCCTAAGATGTTGATTCTGTCACCCAAAAAAATTGACATGTCAAAAAGCTCAAAGATAACAGCTGCATAAATGAAATAGGTAGACACTTACCATGGTAAAATATTTGTGGGCATCAGACAAGAGATCCTCGGTGGGTCTCAAGTATTATTGGCCCTCTGCCAAAGAAGCACTGATTCCAAGTGATGACCTCACTTGAAACTCCTCCCATGGTTGGTTGGAACTATTCGGGTTCTAGCTTGGGAAGCAGATCTCCCCATCACCTGTCAACCATCCTGTTGTCGATTCATAGTGATAGGATCTTGACCGGATAGGTAGAATCTCTACCGTCGCTAAAGGTAGCGAGCCATGTGGGGTAGCTGACGGTCTTGCCCCTAAAGCATCGGAGTGACGGGAGATGAGGGGTTGTGGTTGTTGTTGTTGCGATGCCTCAAAGCTAGGGGTCTCGGCCCACTAAAGCATCAGAGTCCGAGTTGAAAGACTTTGCACTAGGTGGCGGAGCTACACCACACAATGGATTCGCTTGTGCTGGGAGGGCAACCTCTATTGGAGTAACTGACTTGGCTCCTTTCAAGGTTGACGAGGATGATGTCTTGTCTAAGTTTAAAGTGTTGGAGGAGGAAGCTGAGGAAGATATCGCAAACTTTAAATTGGGCTGTCGGGAGGTCTTGAGAGTTCGTTTGCAAAGTTTTTTTATTATGAGGGTAGGTAACAAATCCGGAAGCAACTTATGGGTATTTATAGGAGGGGAAGATGATATTTCGCTTGCTCGGTCATCTCTTCAACTCCCGAATGCTTCGAGTAAAGTAGGACATATGACACCATCAATACGGCCCAAGGCACACGATAATATCTTGAGGCCCCATTGATCAAATGGAATATCCTCATGATTATAACAGAATCTATCATAATCTACGCAATGGCCATGCATCAAAAGTCATTTTGCCATGACCTCTCTTTATCGGTGGGTATAACATGTGCAGCTATATCTGGATTCGCTCAGATTCTCCCACTCACTGATGGGGTGGCGTACCCTACAAGTGCATCGACTGAACCCTCCCACCGTCATACGATAGTGGCATTGCTAACATGCGCCATTGCACATGGCCTTGTGGCCCTTCATGCGCCATCGCACCTGGCCTTATGGCCCTTAATACGCCACCACATATGATTGTTTTATCCTATTGTGCCTCACACCCAGTCCTATGGCCCTTCATGTACCACCGTTCCAGGTCGCTTGACCCTATCATGTCACCACACCCAACCTTGTGGCCCTTTGTGTGTGTCATCGCGCCTTGTCACCTTACCCTATATGTTTGAAAACCTGGATAGAGCATCATATACACAATGGAAGAACAAAAAAAATAAAATTTCAGACTTAAAAAAAAAAGGTTTAATCGTTATACGAACATTAGTGCATGAAACAAAACGCAAAATCGAAAACTGTGTGCGTCAAGGCAGATTTTTTACCTAGGGAGATCGTATATCATTGTAAAACCTCAGATCTACAAGAGTGGATGGAGGTCAATTGTCCTCTTCTTGTTGTCCATACACCTCAAATATGGGTTGTTGGCCGAGGAGGAGAGGGAGGAGGAAAATATAATGTAGCAACTAAAAAGAATATATCTTATGCCCTTTTGGTTCTCTCTTATTTATAGAGGACAATGTCAACTTAACTATAATGAATCCTACCTTGTGGGATATTAGATCTCCATCAAAATACTAAAGCCTCTTGGATTACTCGTGTCTAAAATAACTCATACATTTTTAAAAACGTAGCATATAAGCCCCTCCTGTCAAGTCTAAATTAACAAACGTTAGAGTTTATTTATGTGGTATGTTGACTCATAATAAATTATTAATATAATGACATGTGTAATTTAAGTTTGAAAAATAGTTAAGATTTATCTCGTCAAGGAAGAAGAAGAGATGGAGGTCATGGTGACGAATGAAAGAGGAGAGGTAGAGATAGGAGAGGCCGAAGGTGGAAGCGAGGGAGAGCTAGACCACCACGTTATAGGCACGACAGGTGAGAGCACAAGAGAGGATGAAGTAGGAAGCAGAGGGGACAAAGATGACTAAAAGAAAGAAGATGGACTAGGAGACCACTACATGCATAGTATCGGATTGATCGGCGCATAGCCACCTGAGGTAGGATTGGAAGCTCCTGAGCTCATCGTCAACGCCGAAGAGGTTGCATGTGTACGATGCCTTGCTAGGCAATAGCGGTTCGGTGCTGCTGTTGGTGGTCGCTTTCACGATGATGCCTCCTCCCACGATTGATTGTGGTTTCAATTTTTTTAAAACTTAAATTATATATGTCATTATATTAATAATTTATTATGAATTTATATGTAATGTCAGTAAACTATAAAGTATCAATACATTGCGTGCACGAGACACCAACTCATATCGACAATAAATAGGAGCATTAATTTGAATCAGATTCCTCTTTTTTACTTCTCGTACGTAATCAACTCAACAAGCAAAATTTCAAGTTGGGTTTGGTTGTCATGCCATGGCAGCGATCCGAAACTCAAATCGGCTTGGGCTAATCGACTCGACAAGCAAAATCCCAGATTGGGTTCGGTTGTCATGCCACGTCAGCGACTTGGAACTCGAACTGACTCCGGCTAATCAACTCAACAAGCAAAATCCCAAATCAGGCCCCGAACCGAATCCACGAACAAGTCCCAGCCGCCCGTTCCGCTCGCTCTCGCCTTCGCCACATCCGTTCTTCTCCTGTTCTACCGTTCGCTGCCTCTCCTCGTCGGCTCCCGGTCTCTTCCAAACCCTACCATCTCTGCAGCGGTCCCTTCTCCGCTCCTCGAGTTGGTCGCGGTGGAGTCGTCCGCGTCCCTCGATTGGGACTGCGGATCCAGCTAGCGACCTCCGTAACCGAGATCCTCTGTGTCCTCGCGTCTTGGATGGTTCATGCTGGGGGTTCGGTTGGCGTCCCGTGGCGGAATCCATGTCTAGCTCCGCATATGACGTGAATCGCGCTGCGCCTTATCGGATTGGGTCCGGCGCGTGTGATGTCGGCGCCGCAGGATTCTCTCGGGTTGGTTCTTCCGCAGGTTTGTTTCGGAGCTCGGTTCGTCTGCCCTTGGAGGATAGGGTATGCTGGCCGAGGCCGATTTCGGCCTAGGTGGAGTAATCGGCGGACCAAAAGATTGTATGTTGGGGTCGTTTCGGATCGAACAAGGAGGTGGAGATGCGGCGCGTCCATACCCTCGGCCGGAAACAACAACCCTAGCTTGAGCTCCGCTAAGAGAACCGCCGAAGCTCAGAAAATATTGGTTTCAGGGCGTCTGGCAGAGGAGCTGCCAAATGAGGATTCGGAATCCCAGACGATGCGGTTGTCGTCCAGCTTCACAAACTACCAAGAAGACCCTTTGGTGGACAAGTTAAGGACGCAACTGGGGGTGATTCACCCGATCCCTTCTCCGCCGATCAATAGGAACATCGTTGGCTTCTTCGTGTTCTTTTTCTTTGTTGGGGTTGCTTTCGACAAGGTTTGGACCACGAGGAAGAGGAACAAGTCAGATCGCAATGTTAAGAATGACACATGGCCTCAGGTGCCGAGTAGCTTCTCTATATTCTTTGAGAAGGATCTTCAGAGGAAAGAGTCGGTGGAATGGGTGAACATGGTTTTGGGTAAGTTATGGAAAGTGTATAGGTCTGGGATTGAGAACTGGATTATTGGATTGCTACAGCCAGTAATAGATAACCTTAAGAAACCTAGTTATGTGCAAAGAGTTGAAATTAAGCAGTTCTCACTAGGTGATGAACCACTATCAGTCAGGAACGTCGAGAGGAGAACCTCCCGCTGTGTTAACGACTTGCAGTAAGTTTTTACTTCTTATTTTTGAAAAAAATTATGCTAGTAATTTTACAAAGTGGATTGTTTTAAGTAACACACACATATTTTTAGAAAGTTATTGAAATTTGAAAGTTCCAATTTGATATATTCACTGATATCTTGCACGTTAATTATTAATTGATTACACGAAGTTAATTTTCTTCCAATTGTTTAATCGTCGAATATAGAGTTGCAGTTGTTTTATCTTGCATTTACCATTCGAGGTAATGATTACTGTGGATTGACCAACTCTTGCTGTTATTCATGTTTGCATGCTGCCCCACGGCACTGCATGCTGTGGTTTATGTCATCTTACTAGATTACAAATAGTGGACTTTATAAAGTTTTCATTATGTTCCAGGTCAATCACAACGTTTGTATCTGTTATTTGAACATGATATCCTTACTTCATATTGCATGGACCAATATCTCAAAAATAAATTTTGTTTTGTCTAAGAATGTATATGTTTTCCAATTTCAGGTATCAGATTGGACTTCGTTATACAGGTGGCGCAAGGATGTTGTTATCGTTGTCTTTGAAGTTTGGGATTGTCCCAATTGTTGTACCTGTTGGCATTCGTGATTTTGATATTGATGGAGAGCTTTGGGTTAAGTTACGGTTAATACCAACTGAACCTTGGATAGGAGCCGTATCATGGGCTTTTGTTTCCCTACCAAAGATTAAGTTTGAGCTCGCCCCATTTCGTTTATTTAATCTTATGGGTTTGTTTTCTTTTTCTTGTCCTAATTTGCTTTCACTTTTATCTGGCCAGCTGCTGTTCTTTTCGTTTTCACTTTCCATTCTTCACATGCATAAAACAAGGAATTTTACTGCAAGGTCTCTTCATCTTTTTGTCTTCATGCATAGAGTATCTAATCAGAGATAAATACATTATGTTTGTATAGCTGACCTGTTCAACAAGGATCCATGTAAACAACACGCAGAGACCCGACGATAAAGATAGGTTTGGTTGTTTGAATGATTTTTTATCAATTAACTTGATTTGATAATAGAGTTCCCTGAATACAAAGAATCTGCTGATGTCAGAAAAGTGAGAGAATGAAAATTATGCACTTAGTTGAAGGAAAAATATATATGGATAAAAGCTGCATTGCCATGAAAAGCATGTTTATAATACATAGAAATTCCAAATAATTTAAAGAAGTGGAATTCTTGTTTGATCTTATAATATTGCTGCTTGTCTAGAATATATTGTTTGAAGGGCTTTCTAGTATGTCCCTTTTGTTCTTCAAATTTGTAGTCATGGATTTTGCAAGATTGTGTTGCTCTGAAGCATGGTTTCAGATACCAGTTAGTGAGATATGTGTCAATGGCTTGATCCTGGTCGGTGTTTTCTTTTTATTTTTTGGATGATACAGTTTGTGTATACCGTTAAGCATATACCGGTACCATACTGGTCCAGTAAACTACCGAAACCAATGTTGGATCAAGATTTAAATCCTTACACTGAAGTACCATTGTTCTTGAAATACTTGTTAAAGTTTGTCAATACCAGTCATTTTTAGATACCTCCTATTGTTTCCAAATAAGCATTGAATTCAATTTACATACATCTGAAAGGTGATATTTCTTTTATAATATCACCAATCTTTTAATTGGGACAAAAATAATCCCCAATCAGTAAATTTGAGATCCATATCACATGGTATATTCAATCCTTCAAATACATTCATGCAATGATGGTATGATTAGTTATTCTCATCCTTTAGTTAGATTGATATGCCAAACTATTTTTCATGTGCTGCCTTCGGAAAAAGTGTGTAATCTTAGAACTTCATCTGAATTTATTGCACGTTTTCATTGTGTTTTTCATGTTTATCTAAATTTAGTTGAGTTGTCTATGAATTATAAAAATAATTAGTAGCTGAATTTTGCTTTACTAAATACTAATATAGTTGAATGTCTTTTTTTGCATGTTTCCATCAATTCCCCATCAGCAATTCCTGTTCTTTCGTTGTGAGTATCTTCATCCTTTAATTGATATTCATGTCATTTTGAATGCTAATATTTATGTATTTGAACTTCCTTTTATTTTTATTCCACAACTTATTATTATTACTGTATGGAAGTATAGCTATTTTGTGAACATTTTTCACGAGGAAACATCTTGGGATCCTGTTCCAAATACAGCCGTTCCATGTCAAAATTATATGCATTTGGTTTTAACAGTCTTATCCTCATTACCTTGTCTAATCAGTTTGAGTTACATATGCCACATTTTAATGCTCTTTTTGTTCTAATCTGGGAATTTAGTAAAACGTAATCTCAATATTGATAACAAACCTATCCTAATACCAACAATGATACATTTGTTCCATGTGAAAAGGGGTGCCAAAGGATGTTGTTAAACACACGACACAAATTGACATATGTCTCAGCTAAACTTGGGGTTGGCCACAAGGATCCTTATTATCATTAGGTTTGTTGAGGGTGTTACTGTCGCCATTTGTAGGGTACTGCAATTTTACTTTGCTGCTAGATTAAAAAATTGCAGAATAAGTCGATTCAATTTTGTAAGTTAGGAAAAGCTTTTTCAGAATGGGATGATATTATCCAAGATGTACAAGTACCACTTGACCTTACTCGAAGAGTATTTGCCCAATTTATCCTGTTTGTGTAGATAATGCAACTGTAGAAATGCAGGATTTCTTTATCTGTGCATATAGAGATGGAATTCATGGCATGCATGTAGAGTATTGCTTTCATGTTAAATCATTATATATTATCTATATACCAGTGGCTGCAGGATTGGGTATGGGATTGGCACATAAAACTAATAAACTATAAAAATAATTGTTCATTTAATTAAAAGAAAGAAAAATAACTTAAATTCATTGCTTGAAAATCATATATATAATCCAAATATAAATTAGTTACTAAAAATACTTGAGAATGCTACTTTCTCTGAGTAGATCAGGTAGGGGAGAGGAACCCCTCCGCCTTCTTTTCTCCCTTCTGCATGTGCCACTACTATGGAACGTGGGTCATAGCTAGCACAATGGAAGGTGGCAGAACAGCATATATCTAGCACAGAGATTAGTGTGGCCTAAGAGGTTAATTCTTTTTCATTCTTCTCAACTTTCTTCTCTGCCACCCTTCATCTTCCCTCTCTTATTAAAGTTATCGGAAACTCTTGTTTCTAGCTTATTTGCTAATAGCATTAAGAAAGAAAAATATCCTTGAGAAGTTGATCCATCAAAATAAGCTATCTGGATTAAGATGATAAATGGCATATGCAGTGAACTAATTGGCTGGGCCATATGAGTTGGATTTGGGGGCTCTGGTTAGTCTCAGGCTTACTGGTTTATAACTTATGTTTGTGTTGTTAGCTGATTATGAGCTCTCCGAACAGAGAAAAAACAGTATCTAGGGATGTTCACGTGTGTATGCTTGCAAATTAAGGGCAATTACTTCTATAAAAAAGCTAGATCTTGGCTGCTTGCACCTGCTGCAAGAACCTCCAGTGGTGTTCTCTAGCTGAAACACTTCTTCAGATATATTAAAACTTTGGTACTCCTTTTTCAAATTGTGCTGATGAGGTACTAGGTTTTGGATTGTGCTTATCATGTTTGATTGGTCGGATATAATTCCTTTGAGTTAAATTTGTCAAAAAACAAGATTGTCTCTGAAGTAAAATTTTTCTACAAAATGAAATAATATTATGATAATTTAGTTAATAGATCTCTTTCTCTCAAGTTATATGTCTTCCATGTTGTGCTTTTGGTATCTTTCCCCATTTTGTACACTTCATGCTGTTTAATGTGCATTTTTCAAATTTCACTGTATGTATTATTGTTTCCCTTATGTTGTTCATATCCTTTCTTTTCCCATGTACATTAGTGTTGTTTTATGTGCATTCATTGTCACACCATTAAAAATAAGTACCTTGGTTTAAACTCTTCTTTCATGATGGCTTACAAGTTTTATATTTGTTTACTTTCTGCTTGTGCTCATTGCATATATTATGCCTCTACAAGCTTTAGAATGGTTTCCTTTTCTGATTAGGTTCCTTACAAAACTTCTAACTGAAGATCTGCCTCGTCTCTTTGTGCGTCCAAAAAAGATTGTTCTTGATTTCCAGAAGGGGAAAGCACTTGGTCCTGTTCCAGATTATTTTAAAACTGAAGACATTCAGGAAGGAAATAAAGATTTTGTTGGGGAGTTATCGGTGACCTTAGTCGATGCCCGTAAACTTACTTATGTTATATTTGGTATTGAACTTTTAATGTCTTAGATTCTTTTAATTTATCTTATAGTCTTATACTATATTAAGTAAATTGAAAGTTCAATGTGGTTGTAAATAAACCTTTCATTTTAATTGGCTGTTTAAGATAAAATTTATATCCAACATCTTTTAGCTAGTTATATTAATTTGAGTTGGTTTTCTGTTCATGATTTTGATTCAAAACATTTCATTGTCATTTGATTTTCACATTTTTCTTACAAGTCTTGCCTGCAGTTACATATTGATATGCTATGATTATGGTTTTGTAGAAGCATTTCTTACAACAAGTGCTTTTGATCTTACACATTGTAAAACCTGTTTTGCATGGACAGGAAAGACAGATCCATATGTTGTTTTAAGCCTTGGTGATCAAGCAATTCGAAGTAAGAAAAATAGCCAGACAACAGTTATTGGTCCTCCTGGAGAGCCAATCTGGAATCAGGTAAATGATGGTTATTTTTCTACTGATTCTTTTTATTAATAAAATGTAACATGCCGCAATTATTAACTTATTCATGTGATGAATATATTGGTATGTCAACAGGATTTTCATCTTCTTGTTGCAAATCCTAGAAAGCAGAAATTGTATATCCAAGTAAAGGACTCTTTTGGTTTCGCAGATATTACCATTGGCACAGGAGAGGTGAAGTTCTTATTAGCATATCTACATGATGCATAGCAAATTTCTCATTGTTAATATGAGGATAAGTTTATTTTCTATTTATCTTTCATGCTTCTTATAAGGAGTATTTATTCTGATTATGGCACGCTGTTCATCAACTTCTTAATGTTATTTTCTGTTAACGAAATAGATAAATCATGACTCCTGCTTTAGATGTTCTTTGATACAGTTCTTTTTATATTCATCATGTTGCAAAACATGCAGCTTAAGTATCAGCTTGATTATATAATTGATCTTGTGATGCCAAAAATATTATATGATTTATATCATGTTTTGTTGTAATTCACCAAACCTCAATCTTCCTTATTTATTTTTCTACTGTCTTATTTATTTTTTCTACTGCACTTTGCAATCCAGGAGTCCCTGATATAATCTTTACCCTTTAGCATGTATGTGTAACCGTTAAGTCAATTGATTTACATGCTTTGAAAATATGGTGATTCTCTTTTGATTGGTTGATCCCATTCCAATCTGGATCACTGGTCCCTATTCTGTTGAAAAATTGGGAACTAATGGCAGTTTCCTGGAGATTGGCAGTGAACAGCCAATCCGTGCCAGCAGTTGATCAGTATCAACCAATAAAATGCAGAGTTAGCTGCAAAAGGAGGGGAATCTCGTATTCTATACTGTACAATATTGTCACTTTATCTTACTGAAGCGAATCTGCATTGGATGTTAAGTGAAGTTAGCTGATTTTTTAAATTCTTTTAAAGTTTTATGTAGCTAGTTATTCTGTTGGTTAACTTATCTATGTTATCTAAGAAATATGATGTTCATTGATAACTAGGTTGAGCTCGGTTTGCTTCAAGATACAGTACCGACGGACAAAATTGTAACTTTGCAAGGTGGGTGGAGTTTGTTTGGGAAGCAATTGTCTGGAGAATTGTTGCTCCGCCTCACGTATAAAGCTTATGTTGAAGATGAAGAAGATGGGACAGAAAAGGAGCTTGTAGATAGTGATGCATCTGATGATGAAAGCACAGAATATGAACAGGCAGATGAATCGTATGTACAGAGTTTTCGTGATTACCCCATTGGAGGAGAAAGGGAGTCCTTTATGGACGTCCTAGCAGCTTTGCTTGTCAGTGAGGAATTTCTGGGTATAGTGTCATCTGAGACAGGAAGTTCCAAAGTTTCTGAGCAATCTGCGTATCCAGAATCTTCAGTATCAAAAACATTTGGTCGTGATGCAGAAATATCCGTTTTTGATGCTGATAGTGCTTCAGGTGGTTCCAGAGGTACTCCTGCTTCCTTTCCTGATTTTAGTTGGTTTCATAAATTTTCATTAATCCAACTAGAAGTTCTGCTTTTTGCAGATTCGCCTCTAGTTTGGCTTGCTATCATAACGAGTATAGCTGTGCTGATTGCCATTAACGTGGGCAGTTCAGGCTTCTTCAACCCTTGATATAAATGAGGTACTTGTGGCATCCTAAGCATGTTTCTCAATAACTCCACGCAATAGTTTTTCACTGTGATGTCTATATGGTATCACTGCATTCGTTGAGTTCCATGTTTCAATAACTTATCTCAGTGTTTCAATTACCTAACTTTTTTGTTTCTTTTTTTCCCTCTATAGTACATGTCAAAGATTTAGTTCTCATGTCCAATCAGTGCTGGCTGACAGACACACCAGCAAGGTTCATCAGTACAGTGTGACATGATAGGGTGGTGGCACACGTGCCACTGGGAGGAAAAGATGAACAAATATACTTCTTTGTGTATATAGATATCACAAATGCATACCTTGGTCAATCTTCAGATTGTCCATGTCTGGCATCATTGTTGGTCTCGTGAAAAGATGAACAAATATACATTTTTATGTGCATGGACATCGCAAATGCAGACCTTGTTCAATCTTCAGACTCTCCATATGTGGCATCATTGTTGGTCTCTTGGTGCTCACCATAGTTTCTCACTGTTAAGTCAATGATTTATTCTGTCATGGCCACTATTTTAGTAGAGAGCCTAGTCCATTTTAAGTGAAATGATTGGACCTGCATGTCATTACAGGGCTTTTGACAGTGTGGTTCACTGACTTCTGGTGTGAACCTTCAGGATCATCAAACTAATAGATGGTCTGATCTGCTTACTGGCAATTTCTTCTTATTGAATTTTGGTCATTTTGATAAGCTTTTGGCTCTAACTTTCTTTTCATTATTCAGCTGCTTTTAGTCACAGGTGCAGTATGATCACATTTGGGAAGGACTAGTGTTGTTTTAATTTTTGTAAATTTTACTGCTTAAGATTAGACTATCTTATCCAAATTGTTTACTGTAATCTCTTAAAGCATTATATGTATGACGTTATTTACAACTGAGTTAGTGTAGAGAAATCTTCATGCCAGTGATTTGTAAAATTATGATTTGTTAGCAGCTCGAGGTTATTAGCTCGTGTAGATATAGAAGCCATTTGATGTATTCTACTTCTTCTTGCATGCTTTTGCATCTTATTTTAAAACTCTTGAATTTATGTCTTTTCCTTTACAATAATCAGACTCCCAATTGACAGTTGATTGACGGATGATTATTATCTGATTCTTCTGCCATAATGTATTTGCTCGAGTATTATTTGCAAATCCACTTCAGTTAATTTTTATGAAAGCTTTTACAGTCCTTGCATCATAATTAGAATGACTCAAGAGTGTTCTATTTGCAGGCTCCAACATAGGTCTACGCTCCAAGATAGAGTAGAAAGTGAACTCTAAACATTTTGATCAATTTCTTCTTTTTATGTAAATTCTTGCTAGAGGAGGAATGCATCCGCGGCCATTTCCTTTTCATGAATTTTTTCTCCTTTGTATACAACTGATCCTTTTACACCATTTTACTTGTAATTTTGGACTCTTAAGCATATCCTTCAAGCTATAATAAAATATGTTCGCCATGAATTGATGCATCATTCTGTATCGATTTTCTTATCAGCAAATTCAAGAGCTTGACTAGAATTCTGCCTAAATCTCTTTGGATCAAGAATTGCATTTCACAAAGTTTCTGATGCTTCTTCCAAAGAGCCAGAAATATGATTAATTCAGGTGAAGGAAATGCCCTCATCCTTCGCTTGTTTGATCAAGATGATCAGCAGGGGAACTCCAATATGTAGCAGAGTGCAAACTGAGCCGCTGATCCAATATATGTAGCAGGGCAAGTGGGCGAGAATGCCGAAGAGGCTCCATAGCCGTTTGTTTGAGTATCTTCTTGTTGCAAGTGAGTTATATACCAGTTGGGAACCATAGTGAGATGTTTCCCTATTACAACCGTGTTCAGCAAATTTGATGTAAAATAATCCTTTGATCTCAAGGACTTATTTTAACTAATTTAATTTGGTCATAACCTGTTTTAATTTGTTCCACATTGGTCGTAATCTTAGTCTAAATTAGAAAAAAAAACTTACCGATTTGTGCAACTGATGGTGACTAAATTGCGAGTAACATCTACTCTTTTTTCCCTGTTTTTTTTTTGTTTTCCTTGCCAGGGCTCGAACGGAAGATCGATCGGTGCCATTAAGTCGAGTTTGCACACGCGGAGGCAGTTGGAAGCGCGACCGGCGCACAAGCCGGGGGGGTCGAGGAGAACCCGGAAACGGCGTGTCGGCCGTCCAATGCCTGATGGACGGGTGCCAGCGATGACCGACGGTTCGGTTGGACCGCCCCCTTGACCCGGTGCGGACGGTTCCAAGCGCCTCGCATCGGGGCGCGAGCCGGAGGACACGCGTCGATCAACCCGCTCGGAGCTCGCACGTGCGTCATAATCCGGCCCTCCCATCGGCGTTCTTTAGGGTCCGCCCCACGGGGGCACGCTTCCATGTTCCTTCCGAAACCCTCACAACCCCCTCTCTCTCTCTCTCTCTCTCTCTCTCACATCAGGTCTCTCTTCTTTCATCCCTGCGTCTTCTTCTGTTTCCCATCTCAGTGCTGCATTCTTTCTTCCTTTCTTCTCCAAAGCGTGATGTTGTCTCAGTTGCAACCTACTCTATTATGCTATCTTGTGGCCACCTAGTTTCCTGGTACAAAAACCAACCTTTGCTTTAAGAATGACATGGTCTCAGTTGTGCCCACAGAGAGAGAGAGAGAGAGAGAGAGAGAGAGAGATGTGTTTGGTGTTTTCTTTGCTCGATCCACTTTGTTTAGGTTATCTTTCTGGCGGTCACTTGGTTTCTTGGTACAATAAACCAAACCTAGCTTTTTCCCTTTGACCTTTGCAACGATCCCGTATTCCCATGATCCCATCTCCTTGACTGTGTCTGCCATCCTATGATACGATCTCTTTTTTTTCCACTGTAGTTACATCAGATCTCATTAGACCTTCCTGATGGAAATTTCCACTTCATTTGCTTCAATCTTTCTGCGAAATCTGTGTCCTCCTTTTCTAATGTTTTTAGCTCCAGGATGCCTTCAAGAGCTGCTTGCAGGAGATGCCAACAAGTTCATGATCATGTTCTTCCACGGCTTTCTTGAACTGTGAGCTGGTGTTGCTTCCACCCTTTCCTCGTTGCTCCTCGAGAGATCACTGTGCGACGAGGAAGACACATCCAGCGCAAAGTTCAAGAAAGATGTGGGAAAACATGACAGATCTTTTAGACAGTTCCATTCTTCACAACATCAGGCAGCAGACCGGTAAGTCGTAACGTGTGCATTGTCTCCTCCTCAGACTCTGTTGTTCTTTGAACTCACTGTTCCTTTTCACTCGAGGTGCTTATTATTGCATGATCCAGTGCAGGATTCTCACATCTTTTTCTTGGAAGGAACTCATTCTTCCTACTATTTCAGCTTCGCTGTAGATTCTGAAAATTAGAACAACAATCATCTTTTTCTCATTTTAATTGTTGAAAAATGCAGCTTATTCTGTTGGAAATACTTTTATGTTTGCCTCTTTTTCCCTGTTCCTTTTTTCCTTCTTCCATAGCCTTCTAATTCTACAATTTATTCATGGCACTCACTGTTTTCGATGTTCCGAAATTTTAAGTGGTAAGATTACTTCCACTTCATGATGTCAGTGTGATTTCACTACCTTGATCCATCTTTTCCTTTGTTCTTTTTTATTCGGTGCAGAAACAATCAAAGAGAAGACTCTGGTGATTGCTGTCTCTTTGCATTATTCTTCTGCAATGTTGGAACTGGTTGGCTTTGGGCCACTCTGATAGCTGCAATCACTGAATCAAAGGAGATGTCAGAAAGTGCCAAGTACATGTAGTTTCAATGTGGGGAAAAGAAGAAAGTGATCTGGACTTTACAACGCATGATTACACTGTGTGTCATATGACTCCAAAGAAGATGGCTCAAGTGACTAGAAATCGGTGGGTATTCATTCACTTTGTCGCATAAACCGACCCAGAACTGGCTATTAAGCAACGATATGTTCGTACACAAGGCCGGCAGATGGTATTTGATTCCAGCCATTCGCGAACGAGTCATGAAAGCTTTTCTCTGTGGAAGATGTGAGGAAAAAAGATATGTTTGATGGATCCTTTTGCAGTGTTTTCAGTGCTTCTTTACCGCCAGTGGGCTGCTGCAGCACGCTGCAATGCAAGCACATGCAAACTGTGGCCTTAGAGGTTTAAAGCTTTATGTTACGCAACATGAATTGAGATCACTGTCATCCTTTATGCAGTGATAACAACTCAACTCAGTAGCTGTCTCAATGAGAGCTGGTTATCAATCAGCCAATTGGACCTGCCAAGGGATGCTGGAGTTCAGGCGTTCGGTCATTTCTTTGGAATGGCTGTTTACACCAATGCATCAGAGAAGCCAGAAGATGAATTCCATGGCCTTGTGATGGTGTTGATGATCTAATCTTCTGACAGCCCAAACTGTTTCATTGAACTATTCTGATTACGGTTTCCGAATGATTCAGTGCTGTCTTATCAAATCTTCCATCTTTGTACTCATAATATGGTCTCATCAACATCTTTTAACTTGTGATGACAACACAAGCAAGCCCACATACACCTTACTGTTCCTAATAGCAGGGTTTAAGCATCCATACTATGTATGAATTGATACGATATCACATTCAATAGATACTATAATTTTTCACTGAATTTATTCAAGATTGTTTGCATAGAACATGGAAAATCTCCAAACAATCAAGACTCGAATTATTATTATTATTATTATTATTATTAAATTAGACTTACTCAGAATTATTACTCATTGAAAATTTTGACCAAAGAAGGAGATAAAAGACCTAAGAAAACTATTACCATAGGTCATAAACAAAAATTTAAAGACTGCTAAATTGCTGCTATTAGTAGGCTTTGAGGTTCCATGATCTTGATTGATGCCTTTAAGATTCACGCGCACAAGTTTGACTGATGGGCTCATTGTGTGGCTTGTGACTCGACGAGGATCGCCTTCGATCGCACATCACATCTTACCGCAATTAATTAGTCAGCGAGTGCTCACGAAGTTTGCATGTCTGCTGTCTTTTCTCAAAGCAAGCGGAGCTCGCGGTTTCTCTTTATGATTAGGGAAGGGTAAAAGATGGGGTCCGAGACGTGCCTCCCATAAACTGGTGGTGGGGCCCATGCGCTTCACGTCAAATTATTGGGCACCGGCCGCCCGGGCCCCACGCGGCAGCGAGCCGGCATGCCCCCCCGCCCGGCTAACGACCCACCGCCTCGGTAACCGCGATCGGACGCGCGTCGCGCGGCGATTCGTCCGGCGCTCGTGCGGAAGGAATTAGAAGCTGCAGCCCCGCACGTGCGGGATCTGGATCGGTTACGTAACCGGCCCGGCCGTGGTTCTCGGCCGGTTAGTTACCTTCTTTCCCTCTATTTAAGCCGGCCGTGAGCCGGCTTCTCCTCTCACCTCTCCGCCTCCTCCTCTTCCTCCTCCATCTTTCTCCGCAGCCGAACTCTCTTGTGGTGATTCCTTAGATTTCATGATGGCATAGACGATAGCAAGATCGTGGACATGCTTTCCACAGGCTTTCTTGAACTGTGAACTCTCCGTGGTCCTTTTTCGCTTCCTTGATCCTTTCTTCCCGAGGAAGAACTCCAAGGAAGAAGAAGAGGAGGAGTAGGAGGAGGAGGAGGGGATGGTGACCGCCGTTGATAGTTCAAGAAAGCCCGTGGAAACCGTGACAGATCTTTCCGAGTCTTGGATGTAGGTTTTGTATGATTTCTTCCGCTCGCTGAATTAGTGTGTTCTGTGTTGATTGGGTGGGAATCGTACTGGAACAACTGATTACATGTTTCACATATCCCAATTGTGCGATTGCCTGTTATGAATCGATTGAATTCTGATTTAAGTAGTTGTTTTCCTCATCTGGAAGATGCTTTCTTTTGAGATCTTGCCTTCTTTGATAAGCAACTGGTCTTGTTTTTGTTGCAGAATTGGAGAATACGGAGCTAAAAGCCCCAGAAGCATTGTAGGATTCAGCAAGGCTGAGATGATGGTAATTGTTCATCAAAAACCTAGCAATTTATCCTTTAATTTTACGAATTACTTTTTTATTATTAAAGGCATGTGAATTTGAGGGTCAGTTGTCGTCGGATCATGGAGTAGGTAATGAATTAAGCATTTCAAGGCAACAAATTGGCTTCGTAGAAATTTGCTTGGTATCCTGTATTTCTAACTGGTTAGGAGTAAAATATCGTCGTCCCTTGGCCCTGCTATTTGAAAGGTCTGTGCAATAACATAGTATTGAGTGAAACTGTGAGGATACATGCTTGAGAAGGAAGCATTAAAGTCGATGAGTAGCAGTGGTTATATGAAAAGGAAGTTGAGAGACATATTACTAAATGTTGATTGGGGCCTTTGTGGTTAGCTCATCCAATATTAAAGTCAACATTATAGCTTTGGAGTGGAACTGAAAGATGAAGAAAAGGAAGAATATGGGGAAAGGGGATGACAATCATGTGAGTCCTTTGTGAAGAGGACAACTACAGTTCACTGGCACAGATAAAAGCTTAGAGGGTTCGTTGAACCTGCTTTGTGGAGCCCCTGGTGCTAAATTTGGTCATGCTTGGCCTTAGATCTTACTTTTAGTCTCATCTTTTTCCTCCTTCCTTATGTTTAACACCAAACCTTTTCAGTTTATCAAAAGGAATTTGTTCAGTATTTGACACTGCAGTAACATATCACATTGTTTGCGGTGCCCTTTTGTCCTTTGTTTTGCTGCATGAGGCCTTTCGGATATCTCCCTCTCTCTCTCTCTCTTTCTCCAGTTTGATCCTTCAGAAAATGTTGTGGGGGTATGGTAATTGAATATTCAGATTATACTTGTTTTTAATGATTCATGTTCTTTTTTTAGCCTTTATCTGATGTACAATGCTGCTTGCCTTGATCAGTGTGCACTAAAAGGTTGCCAGAAGTCAAACCAAGACTCATGCTGCTCCACTCCAACTATTGACATGTTCCATGAAACAAGAAATTAAATCCAGGCAATGGCAGTGTCTTTGATGGCTTTGAAGAAGAATAGCCAGAACACAAGGCAGATGGATCAATTTATTGTGGACTCAATGCTTATGGTGCAAAATGCTAGTTTTTATTTTGAGACAAAGGACCAGCGACCATTCCAGCTCAGAGATGAAAAGGCAGGACAGTAAGGAGTGCCATCTCAGTTGTGGGAGGACTTGGTGGGGATACTGTGGCACCAAGAGACAAGATACAGCAAGATGGCACAATTTCATAGCTGAAAACCTCAACATACATATACCATTATCTGTTCGTCTTTCGTGACAATTACTTGGCTTCTAACTCGAACAAAGATCCATTGCTCACTAACAGCAGGTTTACATTTTTGGCTCCAGGAGGAGGAAGAAGAGAGATTAATTATTTTGGATCAATGACATATGATAAAATTAATGGATTGTGGATTCGATTCGAGAACCCCATGTATAGCGGAATCTCGTGAACGGGGATTGTAATTAAATCCAGGGGATGGCAGCGTCTTTGATGGCTTTGAAGAAGAATAGACAGAACACAAGGCAGATGGATCAATTTATTGTGGACTCAATGCTTATGGTGCAAAGTGCAAGTTTTTTGTTTTTGTGAGACAGAGGACCAGCGACCATTCCAGCTCAGAGATGAAAATGCAGGACAGTAAGGAGTGCCATCTCAATCGTGGGAGGACATGGTGGGGATACTGTGGCACCAAGAGACAAGATACAGCAAGATGGCACATTTCCATAGCTGAAAACCTCAACATACATGTACATGCATTATCTGTTCGTCTTTCCTGACTCATACTTAGCTTCTAACTCGAACAAAGATCCATTGCTCACTAACAGCATGTTTACATTTTTGGCTCCAGGAGGAGGACGAAGAGAGATTAATTATTTTGGATCAATGACATATGATCAAATTAATGGATTCGATTCGAGAATCCCATATATATAGCGGAATCTCGTGAACGGGGATTGTAATGGTGATCCGATGGTCCAAAGCCGGGATGAATCGGTAAAAAGATCCACCCTACTTGCGCAGGGTCGATGGGCGAATCGCTCGAATAACGGCATCCGCGTCTTGATTTCCTTTCTCTTCCCTCGTTTGGTCATCCCACTTGATATCGGCCTCAACCTCACCTGAGAAGATCATGGCCGAGGATATATGGTATGCGAAGCTATCTACACCTCCATTCGCTGTTCTCTTTCAACTTCCATGTGGTCATCGTGGTTCCTGGATGATTGATACGTACCTCCTTCCTTGTGTGCTTCTAGGATTGGAGGATCGGGCATGGAATAAGGTGCAAAGTTAGGGTTTGTACTCGTGTCTCACTGATGATGCAAATATATCGGTATGTAGGAGTCCTGGTAATAATTTTTCACCTAGTATTCAATTGTTCGCTTTCTGTTTAGCTGTCAAATTAGAAAAGAAAGAATGATGCTGCTCGTTGCCAAAGAGATGGATCATATTTCTGACGAGACATGGTGTGGATCATATTTCAGATAATTCTGGCTGGTTTATTGCCCTTCCTAAATCTTATCCAAGGAACGTAGTAGATCTTAATATTTCACTTTCTTTTTGTTGGCGAAATCAGTTTTCCGGCTTCAATGATGGTATTTCTTATGCTCTTTCCTCCTTCCAAGTCTTCTTTTCATTCAAATATTACATGGCAAGCATGTTTGATGTTTATACAACAACACTCTGACTAAACTAAAATATCTCTTTTAAGAGATTTTCCGAATCTTAATGCGTTGACAAGAATAATTCAGGATGCACATGTTGTGACCTCACTGATAGCTGTGACCACCATACCTGCAAGTGTTGATACCCAGGGACACATTATTATTATTATTATTATTATTATTTCAAATCAGGTCTACTGACTCTTGAAGTGTGCCCTGTCTACAGGTGATTATTCTGTAAAAGCTCGATAACTATTCTTGCAGTATGAAGTGTAGAATTGGAGTAGTCGGGATCGAGTTGCCCTCACGCATAGCCGGCGTGGGGCTTCATCGGGCTTTTGAGAGGTGACATCGACCTTGACAGTTCGATACTACCTTCCGTGCATGACTCCTTGCTGCATGTACATTTACTTTGCAAGATCACCCTTAATTTCATGTTGTAGAATCTAAAAGAAACATATAAACAGATTGAAATTCTGATATCTCATTTCCCCCGAATAATTCACCTTGTAACTGCCGACATACATTAGGACAGAATCCTGAGACAGTTTCACAAACCATCCAAGCAAAGAACCAAACAGCCAAACAGAATCGACGCCATAAGTAAATTACAGAGGGGTGACATTTAGATCCTGGAAGATAACACACACACAAACCAAAGAAGCAAGTCAAGAACTTGCTTTTTGCCTGGTTTACTTGGTATCCTGACTAGGTTGGAAACACTAGAAAAAGGAAATTTATGTGTTAGCTATAACAATTAGCATCAGCATTGTCACAAAATTACTGGAAGCGGTGATGATGATCTTCTAATCAAGGACCCTCTACCCACTCCGCGACACAAAGAAGTTGTAGTCTGGATGCCGGTTCACGTATCTCTGATTGCCCTTGGAAACAACTGCCCTGGCCATCACAGATGCAGTTTGCCTGAGCGTCCTCAACCTCTCCTTTATTAATTCCGAGGTATCTGAATTACTGACATCTTCAGACTGGACGACCTTTGAATTCATGTGTCTTGGTTGAAACCAAGACTCTCCCTGCACTCAGACCATGTATCTCCAGGTGAGAACAATTTTTTTTAGCAGCAACATAAGCAAAACTATAGACACCTTTACAGTGACCATGCCATTGATTACAACCATGCAACACCACCGTAGAGTTTTGATGCCTCAAGTTATGTTCATTATAGTGTCGAAGTCACCAGTCTATCTTACCATTGTCAAATGCAAGGTATATGGAGCAAGTGGCAGTCACAGAAGCATATGATAAGTCAGTAGAACTTAAGATATCTACATGCTCATCACAATCAGGGGATTACCTACCGACAAGAGATCTCTGCCAACAGAGGATACTGAAGAGAAGAATCTTGACATGACCAGGACACAATTACTAGCTAGGACAGGGAATATCTGATATTTCATAAATCCTCCAAAAGAAGTAGAGGAGATTGAGGAAAGTCATTCACAACATAAAATCTAGCCTTCACCAACTGCATTGTCTATATCTAGCTGTCAAGCTCCCAGCATTTTGGAAGCATCTACCATTTTTTTTACTTATCTTCAAGATCAGATGGAGATATAAGTATCTTTCTGATGCAATGCTTATGCTATTATCAGTATCTTTCTGATCCAATAGTTTCAAACCTGTTAACTTTTGGTTTATCAGCTTCCTGTTATTAATGCACCCCACTGCTACAATAGCAGATACTGGAAATGTCAGAGGAACAATGTGACAATTATGAAAAAACTTGGAACAGATGTACCTTATGATTGTATGTCTGCAGACCTACAACTGGAGAAACTACATCTTCTGAAAGACCATGGCCACTTTCTGGGGAACTTCGATGAACAAAATGACCGAGAGAGTGATATGTTAAAAAAGCAGCATGAAAACTACCATCAGGTATACGATATATAGGGTACCACGCGATGCAGTACCTGAAAACAAAAAAAAGAGAATCACAACTGTAAATGCAATAAGCATATAACATGAGAAGCAAACTCCCATAAATCTATTCAATAAAGTTCACATAAGAGTATTAATTACGGAACATACCAAGATGCAGGATGAAGGTCATGCAGTTTAACAGATTCCAGCTTCGATGGATCACCAAACATGCGGCTATCAGATGATGAACCACTGGCTACCAGCTCCTTGATCCTGCATTAGATTAAAGAAAGACAATGAGACAAAAAAGGTTAAGCACCTCACTTGTATGAGCCGTAGCCTACCTACGACTTGGCTGTCTGATCTTAAGAACGACTTTAGAGATCACAAAAATTATAGCTAAGAAAACAAGAAGCAATAGTCTGCTTCTATCTTTGTTCACATCACATATGACCAGGCACAACCACATTGTGATGCTATCTAAAAGGTTTCAGGTAAAAGAAGTCATATGATTGTTTAGACATTTCTTGCAGTAGTAATTTTATCAATGAACTAACCATTTGACTTTTCACAGTCAGCCTTTAAGGATAACAAAATCCACATCCATAGTGAATCAGGTATCCTGGAACAGATATTAATGAGCCATATCCACATAAGAGTCCAGCAAAAATAAACTGGCAATGCCCCATTGATATTCAACATTTTTTAGAAAACAACCAAACTAAAGTCATTAAAGCACTCAACATCGTTTCGCGATAATAATATTATTGAGTTGATTAGTTGATGCACTACATTGCTCAGAATGCCACACGATACGACCAATCTCACCTAGTTAAAAAAGGCTTTGCTGGAAGATTTTCCAGCAGGAAGCGATAATAATATTATTGAGTTCATAAGTTGATGCTGAGGAAGTCAGAGGAAGCATAGTGTTAAGCATTCTGATGATAGAAGAAAGAGTTCTAAGGAAGCTTAGCAAAAATCACATATTATATAACAACTAACAAGATATATCAATTAGCAGATAAAAAGACACAAAAATAATGAAACAACTACTAACTTCTCATATAATGGATGCCGCCAAGGAGGTTGTTCAGATTCAAAATATTCAAATATAATCTCCTCATGATCCACGTCGATGCCTTTATCAAAGAACCCAGCTTTAGCAGAAGACGATGAATCTGAGAAGCATGCACCTTTGTCCTTAGTAGGTTGGGGCAGTAACATTGAGAAGATTGGGAGAGAACCCAAAGATTTTGCTGTCTTGTTCCCCTCAGAAGCTCTGGCTGACTGTCCATTCAGATTGCAATACTTGGTACTCCTGGATATTCCAAATAATTGCACAGCAGAAAGATACGGCACAAAGTATGCAGTGAATTCATGACAACCGTTCCGCAGCCTTCTAGAATTATAAAAATCATGTGCCTTCACTTCCAACCCAAAGCAACCAAGTTCTTCATACCATTGCCAAATGCTTTTCAAGGAGATGTTGGGAATCTCGTGCCAGCACAGAGAGCTATCTTTGAGTCGTTCATGAGAACAACTGTTGCAGCTTCTGCTATTCTGTGTTCGTCCAATAACTGGAGCAGCAGAAAAAAGAAATTTCTCAAAGTCAGCAACTGGACTGCCAGTTACCAGTTGAACACTTTCTACCGCAGTTTGCAATTCATAGGCATTCTTAACAGCTCCTATTATCTTGTCTAAATCAGTCTCAAAACCAATAAATTCCTTGTCTTCTATCTTGTGTGTTTGGCAGTTGATCACAGCATGTATATCGAGAACTTCAGTTGAATTAGGGTAGGTGCTCAACTTGTTAGTCAACTTATTAGCTTCAGAATTTGAGATATCTCCATCTTTATTCACATCCTCTACTTCAGCAGTCTTTGGATATGAATGATCAAGAACTGCTTCATCCATGACAGAAACCTTTAAGCAGTCTAAATAGCCCATATCAGAAGCTATCGAATCTTTCCTCCCTACTGGGACCCACTTCTGTATTGGAGATCCATTACTGCTCAAGCTGTTAGCTTCTCTGTGACTTTCAATATTCGGTTTTGTGCATCCATAGTCTTCAATACCTACACTGGAAAGATCTTCCTGAATATCCTTGGAGTGCTTAGTGGTGCCATTCTCACAATTAGCATCAATCTGCCTCTGACCAAACTGATTTGATGTAGTTGCCATGTGGTCAATTTCACTAAATGCAGCTGCCACATCTAAATGACAGATCCCATCACAAACAATTCCTTGTGGTGCTGCCCCCATAAGAACACTTATTTCCTTCTCTGAGTGTCCCAGACAACAGTCAATACTGTCAGTCAGCTTAGACAAACATCTTTGGGAAGAGCTGTTGCTATGTGATCCGAATCCTGTGCTGCTATGTTTGTTAAGACCCTCAAATGGTGAATTATGCCGGCATTCTTTCTGCTGAAAATGATGCTTTGGAGAATTGGGCATGTCACCCTTACCAATGTAAGATCCACTCAAATGATTTTGATTTGCATGTTTGATGACTGAACTAGATTTGTTTTTTGCACTTCCAAATGTGGCTTTAGATAGAGTAGGACTTGTCTTAGCCCCTCTGGAGGACACTTGGCTTGGCTCTGCTTTAGGGTATTTGCAGGTTATTCCACTCTGCTTTTGCTTTTGCCCAATAAATTTGTCAGGCTTCATTTTCATCTTGGTATCCTTTGATGAAACATCATGCTGAGCATACAAAACGCTGACATTGTTAGCTTTAGAAACACACTCATTTTTTTCATTTTTTTTAACCTTCTGCCATATGGAGTAATTAATGTCTTCCCCGGTGTGACTATGTATCTTTGCAGTAATAGATCCGTTTGCTCCATTTAAATTCCCATGACCAATCATTCTTCTAGACCTTCTACCTCGCCTTTCATATATAACAGGATGGAAGTCATTGCTGCTGCCAGCCTGACTACTGCAATCAACTCTTTCAGTACTGCTGCAAGCATCGAGGACATCATTTGACAGATAAGCATCACTGCTGGAATTATCCTTTGATACGTGAGTCCCCAAATTGCATAAATCTGCAGTTGCATGAGATGAGGTGTCGCATTGCATAAGCTCTTCAGAAGGTGAAATAATTTCACCTTCCGAAGAACTAGGTCCACTTTCATCCTTAATTACTAACCGCATTGCAGTGTCATCACTAGAGTTCTCACCAATGTCACTGTTACAACCATCCAGTGATGAATCTACTGCTGGATTATTATTATTACACATGGAAATGCATGAGAAATTATCATGACAAATGTT